GAGAAGCATCATCTTTACCAGAGCATGACGCCAGCACAAGGTCCTGGAAGGGACAATAGGAGGAACTTAATATAAAACTGTTAATAGTTTTTGGAGAAAATGTCATATTTATTTATATAGTGGTCCCATAGGGCAAGTGTTTTTTCACAATAAAAAGAATTACATACAGAAAAAACAACAACAAAACAAACAGGGCAAGCCCACACCTTTGACTACAATAAGTGAGCCATAAAGCTGAAGTTGTAGACGGATCTAACAGAGGGACACTGTGTTCCTATCTTTGTACAACTAAAATGGCTACAAGCATTTTAGATATAATTGATCAAGTAAATAGTAAAGGCGAAATCTTTAAAATGGTCCAAGGAAGTAATTATGTACAGACTCTTCTTTTAGAATATGTCATCATAATAAATGTATTTAGTATTACACTACAGAGAGTGATCTACAAACAAATTTTTTTTTTAAACAACTGTGTTTGTCCTCCATTTAAACAGGTAATTATAATGATTTGCCATAAGGAATTAATATTTCTGCTCTTAAGAATATTATTCAGTTGAAATAATTTTTATTTTGGATGTAAATTATCTTATTTAATTGACATATCGTCTAATTTCCCTGCTTAAATCAAAGGAAAACACACTTATTTGAACCAAACAGAAATTATATTTCCATTTTTGTAGTGTATGTTTTTAGTACAGTGGTCTAGACCAGTTCTAATGTGACCCTGGTCAGAACCCCTCATGATTATTATCAAAATACAAACAATAATATGTTCCATTTTCTTCTAAAAAGTTGTCAACTAATATGACCGTCCTGTATTTTGAAAGACATCTTCAGTTGCTTTGGTTTAACAACATAGATAGGATGACCACTAAAAGATGGCAGCCATATTTTATTTGGTGCAGCAACCAATGCATGGTCTACTCTTCTTTATGGGTGCTGCCTCATCTTTGCAGGATCTGGGAGTCTTTTGAAATCACTTTAATTTGGACGGATTTAGATTCTTTTAGATAATAGAACCTAAATTTGTCTGGCTAATGAAACTCTCTATCCTAGATTAATGCTTTACTGAAATCGGAAAATATTTGGCCATAACTTACTGTTCACTAAATGCTAAAAAATGCATCAGACTTCTCACATGGTGATAGTACTTGAATCTGAAAAACTCACACAGAGAAGAAAGACAATTAGAAGAATTTTATTGATACAAATACTTTAGTTTTTGGTGGTCAGACCTCGGCAGGAAACATAGCGCTGAATTTGTTTGATATGCAAACAGGAGTAAAGAACAGGGATGTTTCCCTCCAGGCCTGAAACTGGTGGTGGAGTGGAGATGGATGAAATTGGTCAGTCTGTAGACTGCTGGTTAGGGAGACAGTGTGCTTGAGCTGTATGGACAGATCCAGTGGACTGCCTGAGCTGATACTAATGCTTCACTAAGGGACCTGGAAGATGGAAGTCCAGCTTGGATAACATAGGTTGCTAGAACCTGTCCACAATGAGCAAGCATGAAGCGACAGTAGAGAGGGAAAAACTCCCCACTGGGAGGGAACCTCTGGCAGAACCAGGCTCAACTTGGTGGTCTTCTGCTGGACTGGTTGAAATGAGACAGGGAACGCCATAAGAGTCCGGGAAGAATGAAATTCTAATGAAGCTGTGGCTACAATGGTGGAGAAGGGGATGGAGGTGGGTTGAAACTGGGTCATCTGAACCGAAGTCCAACATAGCGTAACCACTGCCAGCGCTTTATGTAGCAGACGGAGTTGTGGATGTGAGACCTTTTAAGACAAACTCTGGATGCTGATTGGGCTTTCATTGAGATGTGGTTCAAAGCTGATTAGCTGGTGTCGGAGACGGATGAAGGCGAGTAGTCAGTTTTTTCCGTTGAACTTCCACCTAGGCTCCATATTACAGGTTTTGAGCTTGCCTAAAAAATAAATAGTTTCGGGTAGGAGGTAGTGTATTAACTGGTACTAACCTATGATATTCCTGCATAAGGCAGCATATGATGTAAGAACTGTGGGCACTGAAGCGACTTTGTTATCCTGTGGTGAATTGATTGGCCAGTTATTTCTTGTAATGATGCAGGAAAGTCACATCAGCCCTGCATTGTGGTGCGTTGGTGGGCGTACGTTGTTGGACTGCCAAAATAAAGATGTGCTGCAAAGAGTGCAGTCAGTGACACATGAGAGCATTTAAGGTGGAGGGAGAATATTAGGCTAAATCCTATATGCTGTGAACCAAGAGTAGCAGCATCATGATTGAGGTTTATTTCAGATATAGATTGCATAATGATGTCCTCCTCCAGTGTGTCACAGCGATCATTACTCAAGCTGCACAATGACATCATGCCACAATTTATTTCGGCAAGCAACATGCAACGAAAGCCAAAATTAAAAACCACTCCTGCAACACTTGAGGCAAAAACATCAAACGCCCCAGATATTCCGCTGAGCTTAAAATTGCATGGAGTTTACTAGTTATCATAATACACTTTTCATGCTTTTAATGCTCAGCTCTAGGCTTATTAACCCCAGTCTGCAATTAAATATTCATTAATGTTGGATCAATCTGTTACTGTGCCTGAAAAATGCCTTTGAAGAGGAAAAAGCTTTGGAAGTAAACATCAATACATGAGGGTTTTTTTTCTTCCCTTTTTTGCAGTTCAACCCAATGGATGTTGGCCCAGAAGCATGGCACACTCGGGACAGGTCAGGGCTAACACATGTAGGCAGAAGGCCCTGACTGCCTGATGCAGAGACATCATTTGACACAACAGGAATATTTGTAAACTGTAGAAAAAAACAAAAACATAAACTCATAGACTCATAGACTCAGAATGATGCTCATTCATTGTAAGAAAGACACAATGAATTTAGTGACACATGAGAATGACACATTTTCTTTGTCTCTGATTGGTTGATGTGGCGGTCGAGCAGCAAAAGTTCAACTTTCCAACTCCAGCAGCTGCTGCTTTTGCAGCGCTTCGCGCGTGTCAGATGCTCAGAAGCTCACGACACACTGCTCCTGCTGCTAAAAACGCGCTGCGGGACATTTTGCTGCACCTTGATGCAACACTAGCTGCTCCTACTGCTGCCTTTTCTGCTTGCGGTCTGAACGTAGCATTAGTCCTTGACGCGGCCGACCCATTTCGTTTATCCCTTTAAGCCGGGCGTACTCTGTATGATTTTTTGCCCTTTTCTGGCCGACCAGCGCCATCTCTCGGCGCTGAGTCCGACATATGATTTTTGGATGTGCAGTGTGAGCAGGTAGATAGCATCAGAGCATTGGCGCTGCAAAGTGCAATAATATGAATGGTGAGCTGTGAACTTTTAAACCCTGCGGTTTCTTCGTACAGTTTGAGCTGTAGGTGCAAGCAACAATTGAAAATATCACACAGTGTTTGCCCGGTTTAAAGTTTCCAACTCTGTTCCCCACTCTGAGCTGCTCTCCTCTCTCTCATACTTGCCATACTTTTATGAGTTTTACTCTTTTTCTCTCTGTCCATAACGGCTCGACATACATCGAAAATTAAGTTTTGCCCCTGAGTTGAAATGAACTGTAAAACGGATATGAGGTCATTTTAAAGCTCATATCGTGTCACAGAATGCAGAGTACAAGAAGTTGAGATGGCTGCTTAAATACTGGCTGCCTTATTTTTAAATATGAAGTCACACATTTCCCAACATGCATGAGTAATTATTTTCCTGGCTTGTGTTCTCTGACAGCCTGCAGTGCCCAAAAGCCTTTGAAATATTAATCAGCCCAGGCTTCTTATGCAAAACCATTTTAAACATGGAGAGCCACTGCTTTGGAGTGAAGGAAAACAGAAGCCTGGAGCTCGGATGGTTAAGTTGTCATGGGACGTCTCAAGGTGCTCTCTTGTGTTTGGCGTCTAACCTCAGGGCGAGTTAAAGTGTCTTTGGTGCAGGAGCCGTGCTCTCACAGGGCCTTCCTCAGGTGCCATTGGAAACTTTAAGGTATCCTAATATGCAGTGAAGTGAGTCTGTATGTGTTTCCCAGAAGGTTCAACATGCCCTGAAAAAGGTTTAGGAGAAAGGGTGTTTTTTGATGGCCTAAATTTCAGAACAGAATAAAAAAAGCAGAGCATGCTTTTTGTGGGCCGTTGCGTATTTCTACATATATTCATGAAGGTTCTGAGTAAAAAAAACAAAGCTAATGCAACAAGAGGCACACTTCAGGAAAAAAAAAAGAGGGAAAGCCAAAGAAGAGAAGAAGCAAAAGGGCAACGAGAGGGAGTCCAAATCAGAAACAAAGTGAGAGAGTTGAAAGTGTGTGTGAGCCAGGCCTAGTTTTAGCGTGTGATCTAGGCCATTATCTGTGTTAGCACTGATGGGGCTCCTACAGGCTCTGTGGATCCTACATTACAATACCTTTTTACTAACTTGTTCTTTAAAATGAGTGTGTCTACGTGTGTTCGGTATACTTGGACACGATGCATTATTTGTGCAGTATTTACCATATAGACCTTTTGTTTATTCCTAGATTTTGCTCTTTGTTTTTTTTTTTTTGCTTGCACACAATCCGGTGTGTAATTAAGTGTAAGGGTGTTTACTGGAGTGTTTCTTCCTATGTGTGTGCCTTCTCACGTGCATCTGTGCACTCTTGCTGTATCACGATCGTTGTGGGTCCAGCCCCCTTTCCAGCAGGCCCCTGGGGGCCTTCATTATGTAAGAAAGACGTTACTGCAGAACAGAGGCGGGCTGCGCTGATAGCTCTGGCAAGCCCCTGCTTAGTGCAATGAGTTTCACACTTACAACAGCACCCTTTAAAGACCAGGCTTGGGATTAAGATAAGGGTTTTAAAGTCAGATTTGGGGTGATTTTAACTCTTTAAACAGTCCACAGAAAATCAATAAATCTAATTTTATATTGTTATAATTGTTCAACATTAGTCTCCCTTTCATGAGATGGCCCCATCGTCCAAACAGTCCATCCAGTAGTCCATAATAACGCCCTTTTTTTGTCTTCCTCCTTCAGCGGTCCCCTTCCCCCTGGCCCACCGCCTCACCATGAAGGAGGTGTTTGACTCGGAGGGCCGGCCACGGGTGGACCTGCTCAAAGCTCATCTCACAAAGGAGGGCCGGCTGGAGGAAGCTGTGGCCCTGCGCATCATCGATGAGGGCGCCGCCATCCTGCGCCAGGAGCGCACCATGTTGGATATTGAGGCGCCAGTCACGGGTAAGGTGTTTCAGTGGAGACTGGAGAACAGTAAAGCATAACTTTGCATAATGTAGTTAACAGTTTATGGACTTTATGTTATTTCAGATAAAAAAATATATATATTGTTGAAAATTTTGGTTTAAATATGTTTTAAATTCTCTTACTTAAAAATTGCTGTATGTGATGCGTAAAAACGTATAATTACTTCAAAAAATTATATATCTTTTGTTGTATTTCTCACCCATATAGGTTGTTGTTTTTTAACCTGCAGGCTGGGTTATGACATATTTAGGTCTACCTACCTACCTACTTACCTCATGAGCCGTTATGCATGAGATATCTGTTGAAACAATCAAATTGGATTTTTTGTGTATTCCACAAAAAAAAAAAAAAATGTAAAAACAATCCACTGGACTTGGTTTCCAAGTTTGAAGATGTTTCGCTTCCCATCCAGGAAGCTTTTTCAATTCAAAATGTCAGGAATAGTGTTGAGTTCGAGGTTTTATACAGTAGCCCAACAAGGCCCTGTTTTATTTGGAGAACATGCAACGTGGAATGGACGAAGGGGTCCACTCCTTTGGAATGGGGTCTGTTTGGCTTCTTTTCTTAGATAATACCCCATATCCGTGAATTAAAAAAAGCTTCCAGGATGGAAGGTGAAACATCTTCAAACTTGGAAACCAAGTCCAGTGGATTGTTTTTAATTTTTTTTGGAATGACTCTGACCCGGATGACTGAGAACCTTCACCAGTGATCTGCTGTTTATTACATTAGCTAGAGCTAACACTGTTAGCAGAAGCTAATGAGAAATATAAATCTAATTGGAAGATAATGAACAAATAGAGCTAACACTATTAGCAGAAGCAAATGTGAAATAAAAATTAAATTAGATGATAATGAATGACTGTCTAAAATGACAGTGAAGCATTGTTCAGTCTTTCTGATGTATCTGTAGAAAATGTTTTGATCCTGATACTAACCATTAAAAGCCTAAATGTAGCATAGCTCTCCATCAAAGTTAGCATTGTCACTATCCAATCGGTCCCAAAAGCACGATCGGCTCATTTGCGCATTCCAGATAAACTCCCGGGTCGTCCTCGATTTTATTTTGTTAAAAAGACCTGAATGACATCCCCCCCCCCCCCCCCCAAAAAAAAAAAAGTAGTAAACCTACTAAAATACAATGTTTTAAAGGTTAATAATGTATTTATCACTCATCTGTTCCTAATGTGCACCGGAAATGGGATCCTACGCTAATTCGGGTGGCTAACTTTTTCGGCTTTGGATTTAAACATAAATCTAGACTTTTTGAGTTTTATTTTCATGTTTCGTTTTAACCTTATGGTATGTAGTGTGTAATCTAAAGAAAGAAACAACTAAAAGGCAGATAAACATGGTTTAATCATATTTTGCGGGACTGCTCTGAGCATGTCTGATGATGATGTCAGAGCAGGAGTTTAACGAAAAAAATGTAAAAAGCATCAAAATTGTCTCACAAAAGTCATAGAACATTTTTTAAAGATGTGAATTGTCATTATTTAGTGAGTTAAGGATAGAAATACGTAGTTTTAGTACCATAATTACATTATTTATGGACACCTGGATGTATATCTGTTCGCACTTCCAGGACGGATCGGATAGGGAAAAGCATCTCCTAATTGATTAGCTGCTCCAAACACCAGCTTTTTTGGCCAACCCTCCCCTCTTTCTTCATTTAGTCCTCCTCATCCTTATTATCACCTAATTTCTACATTCTCATCCATTTCAATGTCAAACATGTTTGATTTTCTCCCGACTTTACAATTCCTGATTGGCAGGTGGTTGTGAGAGGCTAATCGCCCCTTGTTACCCCGCGTACGCTACACGACGCACAATCAGGCTGAAAGTCAGGCCGATCGAAAAATTATCGCACGACTGGAAAGTTGGCCCGAAAAGGGAAAAAAAATCGCACAGTGTATGCCCGACTTAAGTGAAAAGCTTGTTGTGTAATATAGGCTTTATAAAACCTCCATTTTAAATATTCCTTCCTTTCCATCAGCAGGTTATACTGAATAATCAACCTTTTCCTTTTAAACCGTAAAAATGGGTCCACTCTGGACAGCTCAATAGTGTTTCCCAGGGCAACACAGACATACGACCAGACCCTGACACTTAAGCCAGTGGTTGGTCCCTTTTAAGCTGGCATTGTTCTCACAAACCCTCTCACCCTTAACTACACCCTTTGTCCAAACAGGAAGATGTGAGCTCCCCAAGGCAGATAACTCAAAGAAAGGGAAACATAGTTAACACCGCATTTGAAAACCAGATAATACTATTATGTATGGACAGCATGGTATTACTGTTACGTAAAATGTATTATCCCTACATATATCCATGCAAACAATCTATATGGATGTTTCAAATACAAGTACTATGTGTAGGGATACTAATTACTTGTGGATGTTGAGAGGTTTTGTTATTATATTGTCAAAAGACAGGTTATTACTGACTGTTTAGCACCAAAATATTCACAATCCCTTCACTGTCTGCTTCATGGGTTCATGGCTTCAGTCCTTCTTCACTGAGCGATGCAGCGATTTCAGTGGTTTCTGCATGTATTTTACTCTTTCTACAATATTTTGATTGGAGGATACTGTTGTGGGAAGAAGGACAGACTGAACAAAAATATGTTTCAGAAACAGAGAAGCCAGCAGGCAGGAAGCTAGACTAAGACACCAACAACCTATTGACTCTGTTTGGTAAATGCACCTTTGCGCCCGCTCGCATTTGTGTGATTGTGTGAGTGCGTTTATGCAAATGTGAGCAGTGAGATAATTCCGTGTTGGCTGTGGTTGCCCACGCATTGTGGGAACATCGCTCAGCTTTCACAGGTACAGATCCCCGGGGACGACGACAGACAGACGGGCAGATGGAGAGACATCCAATCATAAGCAGCTTAGTGCAGAGGTCCTCCAACCTTTTCGCTCCCAACAAGCTCCGTATTGATCGTTACTGTCAGGTTCCTCCACTTCTATAGGTTCTGATCCAGAGGGAAACATACTTTCAGCAGACTATGGCTGGAAAACACAGATAAACTTTAGAAATAACCTGTAGAGAGATACAGAGAGTGAGGCTGATTACATATTCGAAAGAGTTTAGCCCTCGAAGGGGTTTTGCATGTAGGCTGAGAGTTGAACAGACAGCCTTTAAGGATGTGACATGAAAGCCTCTAGGACACAAAGCATAGGCATGGTACACACCACATTGCCTGTTACCAGATCAAATTAAATAGATACTTTTGGGTATGAGAAAAACTGACGTTAGAGCAGCAGAAAGATAGTAATACAGACAGAGGGCACCAGCCAGACAGACGCAAATGGCTATCGTAAAATACAGAACAGGGGAACTATGACATCAACTGAAAGGGAAAGGAGAGACCAGACAGATGGCGAGGGAGGTGGATAGAGAGATGTGTGCTGACAGATACTGCATAGATCTTAAAAATGTTCTGCATGAGGACCTCTTTGTCCTTTATTTACAGATTGGATGTTTTTATCTAAATTAAACATTCGGAAACAGCAATTAAGAATGTTTTACAAGTTTTATGGGATTAAATTTGTTTTTCGTCCTCCAACCGGAAATGTTTCTGCTGCTGGTGGGAATTTATGGATCAAAAGTAGAAAACGCTTTGTTTATATTTGGACCCCTTTATTTGATGTGAATATAAAATAAAAACATATAAAAGCTCTACTTTTTACCAAACTGCCGGAGGGGATGAATCATACTTTAAACTCTAGCCGTCTTGCTAGAGTGTTGCTAATCTTTGGCAAACCTCTGTGGGTTTTATTAGGATTTTATACGATAGAGAAAAACAAAGTGGAGCATATTTGCAAAGTGTGGAGAAAATGATGCATTGTTTGAACAGATTTCTGATGAAGATAAGAACATCATGGTGTGGATTTGTATTCCTGCTTACTCAGAGGGTTGGATGATTTCTGTTTAAGAAAAAAAAAAACTGCATTATAATGTCTAATCATATTACTTTAAGTGGAGAAATACTGATTCAATTAGAGAATTATTTGATTTAGCTGCTCAAATTAAAGGCAAATACACCTATTTTTAAGTAATTACTTATTTTTAGATCAATTTATGCAGTACTAGGGTTTTCTTCAATCCATAAATAAAAAAGCTCCATAATAATGTTGGTTCTTTTATCAGTTTTAGGCTTTTGTAGTGGTTCTGCAACAAACAAAGAACACGCTTGTGTTCAACTTTCTTTTCTGTTTGCGAGGCCGATGAGTGATGTTTTTAGATCAGCAGTCAGGAAAGATACAGTGTAGCACTGCAGATGCAAACCAGGCCATATGGAGCCAGTGAGGCAAAAGCACTGCCGCTTTTTGTTAGCTGAATTGTTCACGCATGTCCACTGCTGTTTCCACAGTGTGTGGAGACATCCACGGCCAGTTCTTCGACCTGATGAAGTTGTTCGAAGTGGGAGGCTCTCCTGCCAACACACGCTACCTCTTCCTTGGGGACTATGTGGATAGGGGCTACTTCAGTATCGAGGTGAGGAATACACTGTGGACAGCTGTGCAGCTTTCTGCAGGCTGCAAAGCAAATACCGGGTTAAATCTCATCTTTATGGGTGTGCATTCAGTCAGAAAAGCTGTTTGCTCTGCTGTAGTGCATATGCAGTGACCGTGCAGGGGAAACCGTGTCAGTGGTGTCCAGTCCCAGAGGTCTAATATGTAGTATCCTGGGAGAATGCTAACCCTACCCCTTTGGGATAGAAAGCCGCAACACTGTGCTCTTTGTTGTGTAACATAACCGCACAAATATACCTGCTATAAATCCTGACAGCTACACAGACAGGATTAATGTAAACAAAGCAGAAATGCAATCTTTGGCAGAGATGAGCACCGGATCTCCAATGCGACTCACATCTGCAAGCCTGTTGAGTAACAGATGAGTATATGGAGAGTATTTGGAGCAGAGGGAGCAATATTTAGGCCACCTTGTTACGACTTTCCAAGGGCACCGAGGCGAGGGACTTAATGTAGAGCAGGGACGACACTGTGTGAAGGTAAGAGAAGATCCTCTGAGTCATTTCCAGGGCTAGCAAAGAAAGAGGAGTAAAAAGAAAAGAAAAAAGTGTCGGGTGGTGAACATGTCATGTTTTCCTAATGAATTCTCTCCCCCAGTTAACCTAATGAGCACGGTCTGATTCAGGTCGATTCTTGTCAAACAAGGCTGTTTGTGTCTATCTTTGGACCCGGGCAGGATCATTTGGCCTCCAGCTCGGTTAATTACGGCAGTATGGCCTGCTCATTCAGTGGAGGAAATCCTTGCTAGAGCTCCACTGAGGTTCTGCGATGAGCTACGGATTTCCAGTTTGAGTTTATTAATGGGAACTGAAAGGCTCAGGCTCTGTCTCATGCAATTATCCTTCGTAGTGTAAGTTCCTTTTTACAGTACATCCCCTTAAAGCTCTAGAACAGATATTCCTTAGCGTACATACAACTGTTAGTATGGTTCTGTTTAAAGAAAATACATTTGAACAAGATTTAAACCAGTTTTGAGCACAGTTGTGATCAGAGGCCCAAATAGAAACTGACATAAAAAAACATTTACATTTTAGACTTTAATTATACATTTAAACCTTCCTTTTTTGGGTTTGCATTACTACACTGGAAAAAACTGAAATCTAGATAAGTAATTTTTTCTCAAAATAAGTGTATTATTTCTTGGATAGAGGAGGTAAAAGACACATTTTGCACAAATAAGAAAAAAACAATTGCATTTTCGTATTTCAAGTGCATGTTATCTAATTATCTTATTTATATACTCATTTACCTACTCAAATTAAGGGTAAATACACTTAATTTAAGAAATATTTTGCTTATTTGTAGATTGTTTTTCTATTGTATACTTTAGAAATTCTTAAAATTTGTGTTTTTTCCCCTTATTTTAGCATTTCAGAAAGAAAATTTGGAACGCAAAAATATGATTGATATTTAAAATGAGAAAAGACAACTAATTTTTCTTATTTCAAGTGCAAAAACACTCATTCTATCTGCAGATGTACTTATTAACCTCCTTTAATACTGCCTACTGACACCTCACATGGGCACTGCCCCATAGGATGATATGGCCATTTTATCTACTTAGATATCTTAGATATCATTTTTATCTATTTATCTTATTTTAATAACAAAATACCCACATCATTGGCAGATCAGCCTATTTAACTGGTCAAATTAATTGTAAATACATTTTTTAAGACATTTTCCCTCATCTTAAGATCAGTTTTTGCAGTGTATACAACAACTAAACAACTTCAATTAATTTGAGGAGCAATAATTTGGTGGTCAAGTTTAAATCTTTGTTTATTTTTATTAACATTTATTCAGACGCAATCACAACAAAATACTCTAGAAGTAATGCTTTTAGAAACATTTTCCAGCTAAATAAAATAGATAGGTATATATATTTCACAATGTTGTGTCACAATTCAAAGGAAGGCAGCCCAGATCCATGACTAGCAGTGTGTGTAATGACAGAAGCCCAGTAATCTGTTAATAGATCCAGTTTCCAATGTTTTGCAGTATCGTTTTTCATTTGTAGATTTTTAAACCATCTTGCCATTGAAGGACTGTGGGAGGAAGTGCCTTCAGCCAAGAAAATGTAATCAAAGCCACCATAAACAGATCTGGAGTATCTTAACTGTCTTTTTTCACAATCATGGCATCAGACACAAGATATGATATTTTACATTAAATGGCAGATCCAGTTGCAACATAGTCTCATTTTCTTCTTGATGTTTTTTCTTGTTGTTTTTCCTTAAATCTACAATGTTTTTGTAGCCACCCTTAAAGGGGAACACAATACACACTCTACTTTGTTTTAAAAAAAATATATAAATATAAAAAATATAACTGTGGATGTCTGGGGGACAGTGATTCGCCTACATGTTATGAATGCTGGCGTACCATAAATAATAAATTATGAACAGTTTAGTTTGTGCCTTCAAGTCGTTGCCCATAGGAAGACGTTACTTGGATATCACCTAACGGAATATCTTCAGAACAAAACTCATATGGGTGAGTAGAACATGATGTAATACCGTAAAATCAAAGGCCCAGTGTAAAAAAAAAAAAAAAAAAAAACGGTGTTCCCCTTTAAGTTTGTGGCCCATTTCTTCATGGATGTTTGTAAACCTGAATGTTTCAAGTAATTATTTAAACCAAGTAATTAAAACATCATTTGTGAAAAAGACAAACAACAAAACCCCTCAAATGTGTTGAGGTAGTGTGACATGTACTTGTTTTTGAACTACATTTATCCCAATTATTTGTTTATTAATTAACTCTAACCGAAATAACTTAAACAAATTAACTTTAATGGAGAAGTACTTCTGCAGATGTTTAAAATTTGACAGTGGCTGCAGCTAGCACACCATGAGCGAGGCTGCTCTTTGATTTGTTGAGGACTGTTCAATGTCATGGTACAATAGACTGAGGCCTTAGCAATAAAAAATATTACAGATTGAATTCCAAACTGAGCAGAAAACAGAAAATATAAAAAAATGTTCCTATCTTAAATCAAAGAGGTGCAATACTGAAATACAGAACTGATACATAGATAATGATCATATGTTAAAATGCAGTTAGGTTACTGGTTAATATATTAAAATGTTAATACACCCACTCTTTAACCAAAATATTAAATTAATTGTACTCAAATTGATTGATTTTTTTTTAATCTAACCTAAAAGTATGAGTTGATTAACTTTTTTTGTATGTCATGTTTTGCCAATATATTCCAAAAAAAAAAAGAAAATAAAAAAAACAATCCACTGGACTTTGTTTCCAATTTTGAAGACACTTCCCATCCAGGAAGCTTTAAAAAATTTTTTTTTGGAATGACTATGACCCAAATGACTTTGCTTTCACCAGCAGACCACCATTACTGTTGCCATAAGGTTCTGATATTTGTAGAGGAAATTTTGTTTAATATTATTTATGGAGTAAAATCGGAAAAGGCAGTAAAAAGGCAGGTTAGAAAAAAAAGAGGATAAGAATTAAGGGGTGAGAGAAATAGATAAACTTAAATAATTTAAGGTAATTGGTTTCCTCAAATCAATTGCATACTTATCAACTTTTACAGATGTAGAAAATGCCTAAATGAGTTGGTGTGGTTGCAGAAGCGCTGATAGGAGCTAAGCTGAGGGCTGCTCCTAAAATATTCAGAGATGGCAAAAGTACTCACTTTCCGTACTTGAGTAAAAGTACAGATACTTGTGTTAAAAAATACTCTGGTAAAAGTGGAAGTACTGATTAAACTTCTTTACTCAAGTAAAAGTAACAAAGTACAGGCTTGTAAATTTACTTAAAGTATAAAAGTAAAAGTAGAAACCACTTTTTTCATGCCGTTGCCTACATTTTAAATGGATGTCTGCCAATAGGACTAGATCTCCGTTGTGTTCATTTTCAATCATCTCGTCGTCCATACTACTATGCTAACGCCACCGCCACCAAGCTGGAATGATTTGCTGCGAATGAATACCGCCGAATCTGTCGATTCATCTTGTAGTGGTGCGTCAAATGCAACGTAGATTCCCATCCAATTAGATTGAATTTGGTATTGATGACGTGAAAAATAATAACGGTAACTCCATTGAAATGATTTAAAACTAAAGTAACGAGCCAATTTTTAAAAATGTAAGGAGTAGAAAGTACAGATATTTGTGTAAAAATGTAAGGAGTAGAAGTAAAAAGTCGCCATAAAAATAAGTAGTAAAGTAAAGTAAAAATATCAGAAAAATCTACTTGAGTACAGTAACGAAGTATTTGTACTTCGTTACTTCCCATCTCTGAAAATATTGGATGTATTTCTTCACCTTACGCTGCAAAAATGGATCTGAAAATGTATTAAAACAAGTGTATTTGTCCTTAAATACATCATTTTAGGAGGTAAATATGATGATCTGCCAATGGAAGGAGTATTTCTGCCCTTACAATTAAATATTAGATTTTGTTCATTTGAAATAACATAGTGGGGCTGTTTTTTTTAAACTTATTTTAAATATAAATTATCTTATTCTGTTAGTAAACTGTATTAATGACCTGCTCAATTAAAGGGAACAGAAATATTTGAACCAAAATTGACTTACTTTTGAATTTTTGCTGTGTAATAAAGCCAATATTGAATATTGTATGTGAGATCATTCCCCTGTTTGAAAATAGTTGTGCAAAAAATGCACCCATCTGTCCCAAAATACCTCTTTATTTATGAGAGAACTGGGAACAACAAACTCTCAGGTCCATCTTATAATGAAAGATGCTACACTGGAAAAACGATTTAGAAATAAGTAAAAATTTAATTAATTAAGTGTATTTATCTTTAATTTGAGTCGGTAAATGAGTTTGCCAATGGAGTGAGACAATTAAATGCAGTTATTTTAAGACGAAATGACTTATTTAGATTTGCATTTTTTGCAGTGTATATAATAACGTTCAGCTCAGCTTGAAACTAAGTACAGAGGAAGCTTGTTGGTGATAAGTTCATCATCAAAAAGTTTCCAACATTTTTATTGTATATTGTTGCTTTTAACCTATTTTAACTGTAAAACACAATGTTTTTCTAAAGGGTTTTATTATAATAAAGTTGAATTGGATTTGACATGCAGCAGATTAGTCCTCCAGGAAGCCTGCTGAAACATTGAGCTTATGGTTAAAATCTGGGAAACAAATGAACCCAAACTCACAACAACATTTTTTGGAAATGGAAATAATACACCAGCATTATGCCTCTGGATGCGCCTTTAATTCTAACAACAATAACACACTGAAATAAATCGGAATTTAGATATGTCATTTTTTCTTAAAATAAGTGCATTTGTTCTTAGATTGAGGAGGTAAAAGAGACATCTTGCCAATGGAACAAGACAATTTACATTTAAGATAAGAGAAAACAATTTAATTCTCTTATTTCAAGTGCATATTATCTAATTATTTTATTTTAAGAGTAAAAATACTCCTTCCATTGGCAAACTATCTCATTTACCTACTAAAATAAAGGGTAAAAGCAGTAAATTTAGGAAATGTTTACTTATTTCTAGATATTTTTTCCACTGTATAAGGATAGAGTCAGGAAGTCAAGAAACCAACCGATTTGAATAAGCTTGACCCTTTCTGATTGGAGAAGTGGCCCAATTAAACAAAACTTTATTGATAGCAAAAATAATTTTTTTTCAATTCAATAAAGAAAAAATAAACCAAAGATCAGTGAGAACACTTATCTCCAAGCTTCAACCCCGTAGAGATGTCCTTTCTTTCTCTAAGTTGTTAAACGGTTGTGTCTTTAATTGAAGTTAAATGTGGCTTTAGAAACAGGGCTGATGTTTTTCTAACCATCTTTTCTCTCCTGAACATTCCAGTGTGTGCTGTACCTGTGGTCACTGAAAATCCTCTACCCAAAGACGCTTTTTCTTCTACGAGGAAACCATGAATGTAGACATCTGACAGAATACTTTACCTTCAAACAAGAATGTGAGTTTTTGGTCTCTTTTTGCGCCCGTCACATTACATGCACATGCTTACCTACTCATGGGACAATATCTCTCCAACATGCAGCGCTTAAGTTAATTTAGATGTCTGCTTTATTTGCTTTATTTTTTACTTGTTCAAACAGGACTACTGGGAACAATGTTTTATTAATGGCTTGTAGAAAATATAAAGCCGCCAGCTGGAGCCTGAGAAAAAAAATCAACATGTTCTTCAGTTGAGAAGAATACGCCAAAGCAGGGAGGGTTTTAGAGGACTGTAGATGGCTTCAGAGAAAAGGAGAGATGAATTTTAATCGCAGCAGAAAATATAGGGACCCATCACATGTCATTAAGGGAAGAGGAGCTTTGGGTTTGGGATGAATGATGCAGAAATAAGAATTAAGATTGTAGGAATCAGGGAAGATGTAAGGTGACAGGAGTGAGCCGAAGTGGGTAGAGTAACTAAAAGTTTTACTCAAGTAAAAGTAGCACTACTTCAACACTTTTTTATACAAGTTAAAGTAAAAAGTAATCATCTAAGAAATTACCCAAGTAGGAGGAAAACAGTATTTATTTATTGTTATTAGACATTTTTTTGTGCAGGTTCTGGTATCTTTTCCAGAACCTGGTAAAATGATTAAACAGGGTTTCCACAGATCCTTACAAAGTCTTTAATAGGCATTTAATTCTTCAATAGAAAACCTAGGCCTTAATCAGTATTAAAATGTCTTAAATCAGTCTTTTATAAGTCTTAAAATTCCTACCATGCCATATATAGTATTTTATTTTTGGAATCCATCTCAAACATAATAATTGATCATTTTACATTTACTGAACGACTTGCTTTAACCATTATTGGTTTTATCCTGATAGCGGAACAAATAAAAACAATGTTCCGGGCAGACCTTGGGTTGATAAGCCACCAACATGGGGAAGTGTTAGATTCAATGAAAATGTGCTATCCAGCCAAGAATTTTCTGCATGACTTAAGCCAGAACCAGGGAAAGTATACGAGGCAGGGTGTATTTTGTGCAACAAGTCATTAACGCTCGGCATGATGGGAATCGAGGCAATGGAGTCACACGTGCGAAACGTGAAAAAGCGACATCCTCAGTGATATCTAACGGTCAGGCTGCAGACTGCAGCGACGTGACCCCCCCATCTAACAATACAGAGGCCTTCATGGTGAAATAATGGATTCCAGAACATCTGCAACATGTCTCTCACTCTATATAGATATATCTATATATAGAGAATGTATAGACGCCTAAGAACAACCTAAAAAAACTAACTAAGACGTTTTTTTTATCATCAATTTGTTGATTATTAGGATAGTACCACAAAATTCATGATAGGATTTTAAGGCCGTACCGCCCAGCCCTAATAAATGACGTGTATAAATTGATGAAATAAGAACCTTTAAGGTTCATGTTTTCTTTTCTGTATGACCTTATAGAATATTACAGGAGAAACATTTCACTGGGAACATGTATTTGATCGGCTTCATCTCCTCTCTTCCTTCCCTCCTCCATCCTCCCTCTTTGTGTCCCTCCTTTCCCACACTGCCTCGTCTCTCCATCCATCGCTCTCTTCAATCCTTTCCTCCCTCTGCGTATCTCATGGCTATGCCTCCTCCGCCGCGTAGTTTCGGCATCCTGTCCGAGTGTGGGTGATTAGCAGCAAATTAATTTGGCCCTTAATGATTGGCTCAGGGACTTGCTCCTCTGTGTCTGATTGGCCAAGGGACGAGGAAGCTAATTTCCCCCGGTGCTCATGGCGAATAGTGGTTGCCCTCAATTACCATCTGCTATGTGTGTGAGTGTGTGTGTGGGGGACAAGTGCGTGCGCAGTGACTGCATGGGTTTATGCATGTGTCTTCATAAATGTTTAAGTGTGTGGAAGGAGCTGACACCTGGTGGACTGGCAATAATGAGCTCTTGCTCTACACAAGGCAGATGGAGAGGATGACAAACACACTAGCCTAGCCTAAAATACCGACGCTTTCCCTTCTCCTTTACTGTTCCATCAATCTCCCACTGTTCTCTTTATCTTTTCTTATCTCTCTCCTCTGCTCCGTTTTAAGCTATTTTTAATCCTGTTTTGTGTCAGATGGATTGTTACACCCGCTTGTGAAATATTCTTAAAAAGATACTGCGTGGAGTTAGGATGTTGATTTTGTTTGGTCACACCTTTTTGCTGCTTGAAGCCTTTATTTGGGTCAGTGGTGTTTTTCTGTGGAGGGTTTCAATCCCGGGCTCCATTGTAAGCGTATTCATACACCTTAAAAATTATCACATCTACACTGCAAAAACGATCCAGAAATAAACAAAGATTTACCTAAATTAAGTGTATTTACCCTTACCTTGAGCAGGTAAATACCACAACCTGCCAATGGAATGAGTATTTTTACTCTTAAAATAAGATAATCAAATGAAATACACAAGATAATGCGACTGATTTTTCCTATTTTAAATATAAATTGTCTTATTCAATTGGCAAAGTTTCTCACTTACCTCCTCAATTCAAGACAAAATGCACTTATTTAAAATAAAATGACTTATTTAGATTGCTATTTTTTACAGTGTAATCACATTACAGACTAAAATTTAAATTTTAGTTTTTACGTGGGATTATTTTAGGGGAACAACACACAGTCTAAGTAAATATTAAATGAAAGGAATGCATTAAAGGATTAGTAAGGGTTAAAGTTTTTCTTTCTCATTTGCAGCTCAGCTCAAACTCACTTAGATTTGATTGAGAGTGGCCCTGTTCCCATTCAACTGAAATTAGAGTTTCAGGTGAACCTTTAAAAAGTAGGAAAAAAGCAAATGCCAGTTTTAAGTGTTTTTGGTCTGAAACGAATTAGCCAAGCACCGTAAAAGCGTCCAACGTTGTCATCCGTATTAAATCGTCACGCATGGCTGTAGTAAACAGGAAGTAGAAGCTGCAATCTAGCACTGACCACAGATCCGTAATGGAGGAAATTCTTACTGAATGTGTTGTTCTTACGTTAACATGTCAGTTAGTATTGGCGCTGCTGCTTCCAGCTATGTTCACGATCATAATCCAGGAAGACACAAACAGAAACACCGGAACAGATGTATGAGTAAAAGTTTGCAACATCAGAGCTGATTCCAAAAAAGTCTTTCCATCCCTAGTTTTACGCACAAATTCATTTTCGTAAATGCCAAAAGAGCGTAACACCTTTTTTGCGAATTTTAAGTAATTTATTTGAATTTTGCATTTTCCATCAAGCTTTTTCAATGCGATATTTCAAAATGCGCATCAGAAAAAGCTGATGGAAACACACCTAGGATCTGTGAGCAGTCGTTTTCCTAGTCTTTATAAGATTAACAATTAGATGTCGGTCTGGACTTTGACTAGGCCACCACACCCTTCTAAGCTATAGGAAGATCCATCCTCCATTCCAGTATGGATTCAGTTCCTCCTAGATTCAGCTTCATTGATCTTCTAAATCTGAGCTGGTAAATAAGTAGATCTGCCAATCGGATTAATTTTTTAGTTTTAAGAAGAGTTAGTTAGATATTATGCATTTAAAATAAGATAGCGGAGCTATTTTTTAAAGCATTTTAAACATGAATGTTCTTATTCCATTGGCAATTTGTCTTATTTTTTTGCCCAAATCAAGGGAAATTATAACTATTATTAGAAAATTTGACTTACCTATATTTCAGTTTTTGCAGTGTGGATTTACCCTTTTTTGCTAATCTTCCATAAAAAGTAATAAGTGTAATAACTCATGCTGACAGATTCTTGAGCTGTGGATCTCTGCAGCTTCACTAAGGATACCAATCCTCTCCTTGCATCTTATTTTAGGTTGAGAATTTTTTCTTTTAAACAGACTATTTGCTAATTAGGTAATTTTGAAGGCAAGTGGTTGTGCTGGATTTATTTTCGATAATTGAATTTTAAGAGGATAAGTGGAGGGAGGGGGATGGTGACGTAGAAAATAACTCCAAAAGCACAAACAAATATAAGTATGGGAAAATTTGTGGTTGCAACAGAAGTTAAAAGGTTGTGAATAATTTTGCAAACACTCTATTGGCTGTAGGAATATGAAGGCATTTTAATGCTGCTACACAAGCTGCTGCCAGAAGTAATCATTTAATGAAAGAATATCAAAGTGGTGCAGATTTCCAAGCATGCTGGGCCTTTAAAAACCTGCCAGTGTTCACTCAGGGCCACTAGCTTTGTTATTGCTGAAACATCCATGTACTCCTCTGGCCTCCAGGTAAGATCAAGTACTCGGAGCAGGTGTACGATTCCTGCATGGAGGCGTTTGATTGCCTTCCTCTGGCGGCGCTGATGAACCAGCAGTTTCTCTGTGTGCATGGGGGGCTTTCACCGGAAATCCACACGCTGGACGACATCAAGAAGGTACGACAGAAGCCAAACACCCTCAGGCAGAATGTAACATCAATGATAGCCAATGACATGAATCCTGTTGCTCAAAGTTATGAAACCCTGCAGGCTTTTTATTTAAAAACTTTACAACTGTAATGATATTTTGTAAGTCTTCTCCTTCCAACGGTTTACTATTAATTGATTCAACAATGTTCAGTCTACCTAAAAATCACCTCCTTGCATTAACAGACCGTAGCAAATATTCATGTGAATTCAGTTTATTTGCCAAATCTTAACATAAGTAATCTTAAAGCACTTTACTGTCAATTAAATCATCCACACATTAAATGAATTATTTATTTATATAATTCAATATTAAAGTATATTAAACTACATCATCCATCTGTCTGTCCATTTTCTGACAAACTTATCCCTGCTGGGGTTGTGAGGGGTGCTGATTCCTATCTCGAGCGGTCAATGGGCGAGAGGCGGGGTACAGCCTGGACAGGTCGCCAGACTATCGCAGGGAAACACAGAGCCAATTAACTGAACAGTCATGAATTAGTACTGTAGGAGGAAACCGGTGTACCTGGAGAGAACCCACACATGCTCAGGAAGAACATGCAAACTCCATGCAGAAAGACCCTGGGCCGGGAATCGAACCTGGAACCTTCTTGCTGCAAACTAGCAGTGCTACCCACTGCTCCACTGAGCAGCCCTACACCACATAATATATAATATTTAAAAAACGACTTTGTTGAGAGTGGGGCTGCACTATGACGCAGTGGGTAGCAGTGCTGCCTTGCAGTAAGATGGTTTCAAGTTCAATTTTTCCGGCCCGGGGTCTTTCTGCATAGAGTTTCCATGTTCACCCTGTGCATGCGTGAGTTCTCTCTGGGTACTCTATCTGGCAGAGGATGATAATGAACGTGCGAGTCACTAACCTGGTCTTATAGTTCAGTCCGTGGCCAGAGGACGAGGTTGATTATAGCCGGTCGGCTGTGCGAGACGCGAGCGGACACTGCCCTGACATTTAAGCCCCGGAGGTCGGAGAACAACCAAGAGATCAGAATCATGCAGAGGAAGGAAGACCAATCCAGTGGGCAAAACCATAGCCGGTGTGAGGGACGTGCTCAGGAATCCGGGCCAAAAGATCACAGATCCGAAGAGGTACTGAAGGGAAATCCAGGACTGAGTCAAGAACCAGTTCCAGTTTTGGTAAACAGGAACAATCCAGCATGTCCGAAGGCAGGTTAGTAAAACAGATCAGAAAGGGGACAGGTAGGCTTAGTGATCCAGAGGCAGAACAGGTCAGGATCAGGCAATCAGAAACACTCAGGTACTCTAAAGAACTCTCAACAAGGGCTCGAATAATCTGGCACTGATGACTGGGAGCAGGCAGGTTAAATCGAGGCTAGAACAGGTGGATTAGATGAACGGTAAGGAGAAACTGGGCGGAGCTAGGCAGGTGAATGAAATGAGTAATCAGGCCAATCATCCGCACCAAGATCATGACACGATTGGTAGAAACCATTGAAAGCTTGAGCAGTGTTCACCCTCATTTTGGTTCTTTTGTTGTTTTCTCATTGTTTTGATTCTTAGAAATGTAACGAGAAGAAGCCATTTATCTGCTGTCTGGCAGGGCCCCATCTTTGCTTTACAAAACGTACTTTTTCTGTCGGTGTATGTTCCTTTTTTGTCAACGATGTCATCATAACAATATATATTTTATAAAAAACTAATATTTTAACTAAAATAAATCCTTGTATTCATTAAATTCATACTTTATGATACCAATTTTCACAAAATATTCAATATATTTTATAGAGAATTTCTCCCTTTCTTTAGGTCCAGATGAATCTTTTTACTAAATTATAATGCTGAATTCCTCACCTGCATTTTCTGTTGGTTTATTTAGATTATCGCTGCTATGCTTGGTTGATAATGAGTCACAGACTCTGCTATGAGGAGTCAATAGATCTTGTTGCTCTCAGGTTTTCTCCCCTGTATGGCTCACCACTCTCTGCTCGCTCACAGTGGGAGGCCTTCATAGACGTTGCTATCAGGGTTAATGGGACATGATGAGCTCAATGAAAACACACCTGCAGGCAGCCGCAAACATGCAACAACTTTTTATGAATGCAAAAAACCCAAAGGCATCAGTGATGAAATAATACCAGAGCACAGAGAGAGCCCATAGCATGAATATGTAGTTCTCAGCCCCACGGCATATAAAGAAAACACACACTTCCTCCTCTAATGGCAGCGTTTCCATGGTGAATCTGCTGGTGTGACATCTTCTCCCTCCTGTGCGGTAAGGGTTGCCATGGAGATGCTCTGCTCTGGCAGTGTGTGTTTGTGTGTTTATTTATTTATTTTTCTCCTTCTTCTTTGATTTATACTTGTCGTTTTTTTTTTTGCTTTGTATTTTGTTGCAGCGGTAAAATGTTTCTGTGACACATAAATATTCTTCAGCTCATGTTTGGGAGGTTTTGGAAATATGAGTATTTTGTGTTTTCATATACTGACGTCTGTCTGTGTGTGTGTGTGTCCCAGTTGGACCGATTCAAGGAGCCCCCGGCGTTCGGGCCCATGTGCGACCTGCTGTGGTCCGACCCCCTGGAAGACTTTGGCAATGAGAAGACCCAGGAGTATTTTGGCCACAACACAGTTAGAGGCTGCTCCTACTTCTACAGGTACAAAAAGCCACAAGCTTACACCTTTCTCGAAGATACTTAAAAGAAAAGAGAAATTACACAATCCAAACGGAAATAATTTCTGTCAAAACCACTCCTCTTAACTAGAGATGCCCTGATTAAAGTATTAGATCGGATATTGTCACTGATATTGTCTAAGTAGCTGGATCTGCAATCGGATGAATGATGCAGATCCAGCATTTAGATACCTTTTTAGTAATATCATACACAGAAAAAGAATTACAGGCTTTCAGTGTCTTTAACAGCCAGATTATATCTGAGTTAATTTGAGACCTTTTTTTAACAATGTTTATGCTAGGCATGTTGGCTTCACCCTCATGGAGAGGTATACACTGGAAAAATGATCTAGAAATAAGTAAAAATTTCTTAAATTAAGTGTCTTTACCCTTCATTTGAGCAGGTAGATGAGATAGTTTGCCAAAGGAATTAGTCTTTTTACTCCTAAAATAAGATAATTAGATAAAATGCACTTGAAACAAGACAATGCACTTGTGTTTTCTTATTTTAAGTGTAAATTATCTTGTTCCATTAGCAAGATGTCACTTTTACCTCCTCAATCCAAGAACAAATGCACTTATTTTAAGAAAAAAATTACTTATCTAGATTTCCATTTTTTCCCAATGTACGGTTGATCCTTTCAGCAGTACTTTCATCAAATCAGAATCGGGTTTCGAGTATCGGCCAATAAACTCAGCCCATGTCTTGGTATCGGACTGGATCGGAACAAAATTGATCTGTGCGTCTCTGCTGTCAATGGGGAACCGGAGAAGAAGATGTTTTCTCTTGTTGTATGGAGCATGCAGTAGAGCAGGCATCTACAAAGTCGGTCCTCGAGGGCCGCCTTCCTGCAGGTTTTAGAGGTTTCTCTGCTTTAGCACAGCTGATTCTGATTATTGCAGTTCAGCCAAAGCTTGTAATCAACTATCAATGTAGTCTGTCTGAGTTGCTCTGTCAGCTAAAGGCATGTTTTAGAGTCTCTATACTCCATTTAATGATTAATCAATTACTAAATTATTTGACGATTATTTCAATAATTAATCCGATTAATTGTTTTAGCGCTACTTCAGTCGATTAAAAGATATTTTCCCGATAATATTACAAAAGCAATTAATTGTCCAGCAATATTTTCTAGTATATTTTTGCTTTCTGGCATTAATTCAACTTTTCATCCCTATATTTCAGTCTAATTTAGTATTTCAACCTCAATTTTCAAAGTATCTGTTGTTGTAACAGGATGCGTGACGTTTTGAGCAGACTGTCTTCACTCTTTTAATGTGAGCAGATGTATAAAAATAGCTAAACAATTCAACTGAGTATCAATGTGTTATTTTATTTTCAAAGAACAGAGATGTAAAGAAAAACAATCAGATCTTTATATGAGTTCTTTGTTTAAGCGCACTGTGATGTTTATGTTTAAAGTTATTCTCAGCGTACGCACCAACCCCCTGGCTACCTCATACAAACTCAAAGCAATAAAATTAGATTTTACCTACAATCACTGAGAGTTTCTAGTCCATTTAAACAGGAGACAATACAGTGGGTTAGCTTACGGAGCTCAGAGATATAAAACTAACCTGATATTCAAACAAGCCTGGGGAAATGCAATATACAGACATACAAAACTACTCTGCAGGAGCAATATCATTATGGCAACCAGCAGAAACAGAGATGGATGACTTTCACCGGCCTTACTCGCTGCGTTTCAATTATCTGGGCGCCTGGCGCAGGTGAGATGTGCTGCTCAACTATAAATCAGGAATCTAATAAGTTTCAGGTAGACTTTGGGCTGTTATTTTGGGATTGTTGCTGATGTGACTCGGAAAGACAGATCCATCAGGCAGAGCCCCGTCACATCCGACACCCACTTAATAATGGTGGGGATTTGTAGCGGAGGCCGGCTCTCGCAAACACGCAAACACAACGGGCTCACCAGCACACGCACACGGCTCAGCTTCAGCATGAAAAGATTTCCCACAATCCCTGGGGAAAGAACTGCACGGTTCTGTTGCTATGACGACTGGCTACTCCTGCCAGATATGGAGTGATATTAGGAGGAGGGGGGCACTGATGGCGGCGTGAAGGGGGAGAGGACGGAGATGAGTGTGGTAAAGAGGAGCAGCAAGGGAGATGAATGTTTAGGAGACGCAGCATCAGTGGAGCAAACACTGTGCATTCACAGCACTGAGGCGGCCATGAGCCTTCCTATGACATGTTGCCCTCACTGCTGCCCCCTACTGATCTAATTCAGACTCAGCATCAGAAAACCACAGGCCTGTTCTTCACTGGCAGACAGGAAATGCTTCAGTCTGCTTTTAGTGGTAAAGCAGCTTTTAAAAACAGTTTATGATGCTTTTAGGATCTTTCTCAGACAATAATATAATCTTTTACCTCCTTTGATCTCCTGTGCCAGCTATCCTGCAGTGTGCGAGTTCCTACAGACCAACAACCTGCTGTCCATTATCAGAGCGCACGAAGCCCAAGATGCTGGGTGAGTAGAGTTCAAAGTGGAAAAACACTCAATGCATTAATTTGACATCTTATTAAAAGATAAAAACATGTCCCACGTTGGTTTGGTGAAGCTTTGACCTGCTGAGATAAACTTTTAGAGCATTTTCTCTAAAAGTTTTCTCTAACCTCCGTGCCCTGATTAGTTATCTGATGTGAAAGGACATCTTGATATGTTTGTGAGACCTTCTGTTGGGGAAAACAAGCTTTTACTGATTTATAACACAGAAAAATGTGATTTAAACTTGATGTTTAAAAACCTTTGGCATCTTTTGCTAATGGTTTGCGCTATGAGTGCTGTGGCATTTGGAAAATGATGCACTCCTCACCTCAAATTAGTTTTTCGGAAGAAATTTAAATAGTTCAGGTTTATAAAATAAACATTTTCACCATAAGAACTACACAATTCAACATTTCATGGTTAAGTGATTGTCCAAATTTTTAAAGCATGTAAGTCAAGCTTTTTATCAGAGCTGACCCTGGTTTCTGTACATCAGTTTCTGGTGCAATTATGGCAACCGATGAGGGGGCTTCATTAGTGGCAGCAAGTGAGCTTGAGAGAGAAACCCTCACATATTTTGACTGACAGACATAACATTTCACTGCATGTTAGAGGTATGAGTCACTTAAAAAATACATGTCCAAAAAGTTCAGAGAAGAAATCATAAATTAGGAGAGTATTACAAAAAATGCCTTGAATGTCTCTGGAGATGTAGCTGAAGGCAGAATTTGCAGGTTAATTGTTAAAGAACTGGTGTTTACACCACCTGCTGGTAGGAAAAGGAACATAGTAATGGTTGTAATCAAATTGCTGAGAAGTCAAGCTGTTAAAGAGCCTTCATTATTCTGCCACTACGGATCAAAGTCAGCTATGTACAGGTATGAAGATTTTAGTCGTAGTATTCGTTAAAGTGGGGGCTGCTCAGTGGCGCAGTGGGTAGCACTGCCACCTTGCAGCAAGATAGTTCTGGGTCCGATTCTTGGTCTGGGGTCTTACTGCATGGAGGTTGGATGTTCTCCCTGAGCATGCATGGGTTCTCTCTGGGTACTCTGGCTTCCTCCAACAGTACAAAAACATGACTGTTTTTGGCTCTGTTTTGCCCTCTGATGAACTGGCTACCTGTTCAGGGTATACCCCGCCTCTCGCCATTGACAGCTGGAGATAGGCACCAGCAGTCCTCGCGACCCTGCATGGGATAAGCGTGACGGGAAAAGTATGGATGGATAGTCATTAAAGTGGGTATTTTGGGTTTAATTTAGAGAAAGCACTTATATCTAAGGTTGTGGGGAGTTGCAGCCTAGTGTTTAGGGCGTAGAGCTTGTAATCCTGAGGTTCTGAGTTGGAGCCCCACTCCCACAGACTGCCACTCGAGGTCCCTGAGCAAGACCCTTAACCTCCACATTGCTCCCCGGGTGCCCCATGATGAAATCTGTCAATGCTGAAATTTTCCAAGCTGGGGATCGACGGCATGTCTGGAGCATAAAAAAGCACAAGCTAAGAAAAAAAAAAAAGCAGTTGCTGCATAGTTTAGTTTTGCTTCTTCTTGCCCTGGAAACCTGCTGCACTGGGAGGACATCATGGATTCAGTCATATATCACAAAGTCCTGGGACAAAATGGGAAGACAGCTGAAGCTTCAAATGAGTAGACAGTGATCCCAAACAAACCTCAGATTCCATTAAAGCTCGTTTTCAGAGGAACTACTGTACTTGACATTAACTCTTAACACTGTCAGAAGTAGATGAGTGGCTATGAATCATGTTTACAGCAACTCATAGCAGCAAAAAGCAGTGACGTTTCTTTTATTAAAGGGGCTTTGAATATTTTAGTTGTAGTGGTCATTAAAGGGAACTGTTTGGTTTTAATTAAGAGAAAGCCCTTCTAGTTAAAGTTGTGCTATTGTATATACTGTGGAAAAAATCAAATAATCTAAATAAGTATTTATTCTTAAAATAAGTGCATCTGTTCTTGAATTTAGGAGGTAAGTGAGACACTTTGCCAATAGTTTAAGACAATTTACATTTAAAATAAGAAAACATAATTGCATTGTCTTATTTCAAGCGCACACTATCTAATTATCTTATTTTAGGAGTAAAAATACTTATTCCATTGGTAAATCATCTTATTTGTCTACTCAAACTAAGGGTAAGTACACTTAATTTAAGAAAGGTTGACTTAATTCTAGATTGTGTTTGCCTATGTAATGATCTGTTCTTTGCAAACAGCTGCTAGTTGGTATATTTTGACCAGTAACCTATAATTTGTAGGAGTTTCAAAGATTTTAGATGCACCTGCAGCATTACTACCAAACATGCAATCAACACGAAGCAACATTGCTGCAGTTCGTCCAGCTTCCCTGGTGACCTTTAAAGGAGTCATAACCTGGTATTTTACACATGCAATCCTTATTAAATTGCAATTAAAATAGTTAGTATCAGAAAAAAATTGAAATGCATTAAAGTTCATAGTAGCATAACATAAACCTGCACGGCTCAGGTATAGATAATAGAACAAGAGCTAATGCAGTAAGACATGACAGCGCTTATTTTTATATTCTCACTTTTTTTGGCGGGTTACACAAACTTTTAAGCATAAACATAAACCTACTTTAAATCTAAATGAGGTAACTAACCTGCCATTGGTGGTACAGGTATAGATACACGGTTCCTGTATTTAATGCTGCTTGCATGCAAACATTTTCATTGCGACTAAGCTAATATATTCGCAAACACTGAGGTCTTTGCTTTGCTTTTTCTCCTCCCTCGTGACAGATTGTTTTGTTGTTTTTTTTCACTGCCTACCTGTCTCACTTTGAGCCAGTCCCCGTCTGGTTTCAAAGACCTCTGAAGCCACCCCTTCAGCTTTCAGCTGCAGCTTGGTGTCTCATCTGAATAGCTGTAACGTGGGCGGCTTGTTTGTCTCTCTCCATGCAGATACCGCATGTACAGGAAGAGTCAGACTACAGGCTTCCCCTCCCTCATCACCATCTTCTCTGCTCCCAACTACCTGGATGTCTACAACAACAAAGGTTTGTTGCATAAGTATACACAAGCACGTCTACACTGCTTTGTAAATATATTCCAATTCCTTCAAATGTTTACATTGTCACTAAAATAACACAACAAACTTGGAGATATTTTATTTGGATTTGTTTAATAGACACAGGTAGGGTAGGAAAATAATTTAAGGAAACAAGATAAAAGATGTCATGTATTTATTTCCATGCCATTGCGCCAACACTTCCTTCAGGCATTTTTTTTAATGCAAGTCTGTTTGGAGAATGCTTCCAGCAGCTTTGCAAATCTAGAGACTCAAATAGTTTCCTGTTGTAATTTAGAAAATAGATGAAGCTGAGTCATATCAGATGGAAAATAACTGTATTTCTAACTGGATCTGAGTTTTAGTCACTTATTCAAATATTTAGTCCCACTGGAACATGAACCTCTGCCTCAATTCTGATTATTATCTGTCCTTGATCAACTTTAGTTTAGACATACCCATCATCATACCATCAATTCTCACCAGCTTCTTAATCAGTGCTGAAAGGAACATTTCTCTGCAGCATGATGCTGCCACCACCGTGTCTAACTGTGGGGAAGCAATGATTGTAGGAATAGAAAATACTGACACTTGTGTGAAATTGTGATGAGTAGAAGTCAGAAGTAGGAAGAAAATTAAGTGATGAAGTAAATTATAGATACTTAAAAAGTGTACTTAAGTACAGTAACGAAGTATTTGTACTTCGTTACTTGAGACCTCAAAAACAGTTTTTTGCATTAGTTTGTGAAATGAAACATGTTACAGTTTTTGATTTCAAAAATGAAAAAAAATACACACATTTGAAATCAGTGTTTAGCCCCATGAACAAAGCAAGTGAATTAAAACCTGTGTGCCTGTGTGTGTGTGTGTGTGTGTGTGTGTAGCGGCGGTGTTAAAGTATGAGAACAATGTGATGAACATCCGTCAGTTCAACTGCTCTCCGCATCCTTACTGGCTGCCTAACTTCATGGACGTCTTCACGTGGTCGCTGCCCTTCGTAGGAGAAAAAGGTACCGTACATAAACAGTGCATGGTCCCTACATCCAGCATGCAGCATTTCTGATATACATTTATTTTCTGGAATGGCTGCATTTAGAGGAAACTGTTGCTGAAATCCGTAAAGTTATGCATCAGATCTTGAAAATGTTTCAGCACCATGATTTAATAGCTAGCTTTAGCAGCAGCAGCTTGAGGAAGTTGCTTTAAGGTCCCACAGTGGCATTTTTTTACTTTTCCACTCTGTGATTTGCTTTCAATATATTCACTTTTAAGCATTCTGTTGTAGATGCAAATTGTAGATGTGTCAATGAAGCAGTTTTAGGCTAAATCTACTGCAGGCTGTCAGTCAGATGGCCTCAACTTTCAATTTACAATACTTTGGTCTATACAAGGGTTAGTGTCTTCAAAATTCCCTTTGCTGTAAATTAAAATCCATTTATCACCTGTTTGAAGCTATTTTTGATAGTTGGCATGAGATTCTCATGCTCAGCTGTTTAGTTTAGTTTTCTCCAAACAGGTTACTGTGCATTATGGGTAAAACAGCATGTTTAAAGGTTTGTTGTTTCTGCAGCTTTGCAACCATTTAAGAGAGCATAGATGTCTCCTGACATCCCCTCTGAAAAAGCAACACAAATGTATTTTGTTTCTATAGTAACTGTCATTTTGATTTGATTAAACTTTTCCCATGCAAACTGAGACCTCTTTGGTATGAGCTTACAGCATGTGTGTTGGGATGCCCCACTAAGTCCCTGCTGAGTGACGGACTTCGAATTGTTTTAAAAATGTATTTGCAATGTTTGGTGAATTGACTGGCAGCAATTTGGATCTAGAACAGGAAACCATTAAAGCTGTACTGCAAAAACAGATCAAAGTTACTGGTATTCCCAAATGACAGCAGAATTTTTATTTTCACTGCATGAAAAGTGAGATTTTCGTCCCCGTAAACTCCCGCAGATCTGCCTGATTTTCGTCAGTTTCCGACAATTTGCAACCCGTGCTTGTCCGCGTTTGTCGTGCCACAAATTGTCGAAAACGTACCGTGACGTATGTGGAGAGCGATCAGCTGTACTAATGGCCCTAATTAGCATATGAATGCAGAATGAATCGATCGATCCCTTAGGGAGCAGCTTTATATGGGGTGAATTATATTCCGTTATTGTTTCAAGTAAAGAACACGTTTTGTAAATGAAATTTAAAAAAATTTACAAATCAGAAATGAAGCTTTAAGTGTTTTAATCAAACAAAGATTTTCAGAGTAACTTTGCTGGTTGTTGTTTTTTTGTTTATGTATTTTTCATAGTTTATTTTTTCAAATGTTATTTTTTTTAACTTAGTTTTTAAAAGACATTTTGTTGAAATTTTCATATTTTGAAATTGCATTTTGAATTTTTTTTATTTGTTTTTCAAATTTAGTTAAATGAATTCCATTTATTTGAAATTGCGTTTTACAGATCTGCATAGATGTTACAAACAACACTGTAGTTGTTAATGTGCCTATCAAGAGCACGTTAAGGAGAGTTTCATTCCAGGATTAATTTATAAAATTCAGAATTTTTTTTTTTTTTTTTTTTTTTTTTTTTTTTTTTACAAATCTCCATTAACAAAATGTCTTGTTTGCTTGGAGGAATATTGGAACAAAATCCACTCCATACTTGCAGCCCCTAGGCAGAAATTTGGGGTTAAGGGTGAAAGTCTGTTGGTCTTAAAAAGGCAACCAATCTGTTATGACAATAAATAAATTAAAGCACAATATGAGGAGTAGACAAAGATCTGCTTAGAAACTACAAAAAAAATCTGTAATATGCTTATTTTTATGTATAAAGGGGAAACTGTATATTAGTGGCTTTATTTGCTGGATCAGTTCCACTTTGGTTACTTTCATTTGATTCAAATGTTAAGGCAAACTCTGAACATTCACTTACACATTCATCCATGCACGTCTTTTTAAATACATAATAAGACAGAAATGTTTAAACACAGAGCTGTTCCAGACCGTTATCTATGACTAGCCTGCAGGAGTAGAGTTTGACCACAGGGTGGTGCCATGTTGAAGAGGAAGTGTACTGTAGGAAGATGTTTTCTAACCATCATCTCATTGATCTTTTAAATGTTGCCTCAATCTTGCGAAAATGACAGACTGATTTAAGCGGTGCTGCTGTAAAATGATTCAGTGCTTAAAATAAAGATATTTTTAAAGTAAGTTTAAATAAGCTTCTTCCAAGCCATGGATGGTTCTAGACAGGGAAGAACAGGGGCCAATGGGGGCTAGGGCCTCTGTAGAACTGATCCTTGCTTGTTAAGGTCCCTGTTTGTAAGCTGTAATGTTAAATAAATGTTTTATGATGATAACCACTGGCATTGTAACAAATGGATCCTTGTAACTATTTTTTTTAAACTTTACAGTTTGTTTTAACTCCTTAATAGTCCCTAACAGTGACTCCTAAGAAGTAGAAGAAAATTGAGAAAATGATAATATCGACCTTATGGACAGCTTTCTTCCTGAAGTAAATAATGAGCTCTTCAGTCATGGGTTTGGCTTGATTTGACAGTAAAAACAGCAAACAGAATAAAAGTTTTCATAGTTGTTCCATTTGGGGCTGACTGAGTGAGAACAATGTGACGATGTTTGTCTGTCTGTGTCCGACAGTGACGGAGATGCTGGTCAACGTCCTGAGCATCTGCTCAGACGATGAACTCATGGACGGAGAGGAAATCTATGACGGTGAGACACATTAAGCATTTGCTGGAAGAATCAAAGCTATTTGCTCTACAACTTTAAGATCTATATGTTGTTTTTTTACAGCCAGTGCAGCAGCAGCAAGGAAAGAGGTTATCAAGAATAAAATCCGTGCCATCGGGAAGATGGCCAAGATGTTCTCTGTGTTACGGTGGGTCAGGTCTCCCTCAACCATACAGCAGGGAGGGGGGGCGTCCTGGGTCTGGAGTACAGGGGGCAGCCCTGTAACAGTTCCAACTTTATTCCTATTTTTTTTTTTTTTTTTTTTTTTTTTTTTACAAAAACTAGCAATGTAAAGAAATTAGGGCTGCAGCTAATGATTATTTTGCAAATTGATTAATCTGTTGTTTTTTTCGATTACTCGGATAGCAAAATGTTCCCTAAAGAAGCCTATTTGTTAAATTAAACCAGGTGAAAATAAAACTTTCTCTATCAAGAAATCCTGAATATTGATGGATGAAAATGTTTTAAATTTTAAATGCAAAATTTTTACTTTTTCACAATTTTGCTATAATTACTGCTCTAAGTAGGTTGATCTGTCAGCTAAAAGCCTGTTTTATAGTCTCTATACTCCAGTTAAACATTAATCTATTACTAAATTAGTTGACTATTAGATCAATAATCAAATAATCTCAATTAATCTGATTCATTGTTTCCTCCCTAAAAGAAATACATAAGCTTGATATTTAAGTTAAATAAATATTCTATTCTAACGTGAAACAAACAGGTGAAGCCTACTTCTGATCACTCTATGCCGGCCGTCACCAGTGTTTGTTTGTGCGTTAATGGGGCTTACAAACCCAGTGGCTTTTGTCATCTGTTGTTTATCTTTGTTAGATGGTTATAATACGGACTGTTCCAAAAGGCATCAGCAAGAGGCTGCATTGTTCCTAATTTGATCTAAAATGGCTGCACCTGCAGGCTGGAGGTTAACATGTCACTTAAGCAGAAGTCTAAAAAAAGGAATTATTTGCTCTGCAGCAGGTATGGAGACCCAGAAGTGCCACAAAATCATTACATTGAAAAGAGTCATATTTATATTTTTAAATGTGAAAATTTCAATGTGACTGGCATATATTTGTTATTATTCAAATTATTAGTAATTATGTTTTACATATTTTTACTAAATTACCACATGCAGAGACAGTGATTTATTTTATTGCCTCATTTCACAAACTCAATCATACCTGTCAGGTTTTGAATTTAAAAATACGAGAAATTTACAAATTCCACTGCAAACCGTTCGACTACCCCATTTAAGCTCCAGTATCCATTATACTTTTACACTGCAAAAACGATTTAGAAATAAATAAAACATTTTAAAATTAAGTGTATTTACCCTTAATCAGGGGCGGATCTAGAAAAATATTTATGGGGTGGCAAGAGGGGGGCAGGAATTTTTTAGGGGTGGCAACATATGGCATATGAATTTAATCACAGTTATCACAGTTTGGTGAGAATAGTATGTACAGTACTAGTGTTTCATGTGAAACAGTTCATATTAATAATACATTGTACAATGTGATCTCACTTAATAGGAGATAGAAGAATGATAACACTACTTCTAGAGGGGCATTATGACAGGAAAGGTATTAAGGTAAGACACAGGTGCTGAGTCGCAGATGTGTGAGATTGACTGTCGGAGAGGCAGCTTTGCAGCATTTGCACAAGAAGAAACTATAGAAAGAAAAAGTTTCCCATCAGAGATCTATGGACTGAGCTGGACTAAAGTGAGCATTACTACACAGTAGAAATAAAAGGGTCAAGGCACCCGAACAAGGTACTGGACATCTATGTAATGTTTACTCTGAACACACATTCACCCCATTTGTTCCTCAGTAACTTGACATACAGCAGTTAAGGCAACATGAAAGGGACATTTCGTGCATGTAAATATGCTGTAGATAGAGCTGTATATGGAGGACCAACTCCGCCATATTTAAAAATAAATACAGAAATAAATAAATGCTCAATAAATAAATAAGCATACAATTAATTGCCACCAAAAATACAATCAACAAATAAATGTAATTAGAAATTATATTATAATGGCAGGCAGAAATGTAAAAAGGGCAGGCAGAAAGAAATAGCGGCGAAGAAACAACTAGGATAAAAAAATACAAAGGAAGAATAAAACAGACAAAAATATGATAACATGCACATAAATAAATACTTAAAAATATAAGTAATTAAAAAATGAAGTTGAAGATAATAAATGACAAAAAAATTAATAAGGTAAATATTAAAAAGGCAAAGAAATAAAGAAGCCAATTAAAAGAGTTATATACCTTTATGACTAGCTGTATAATTTAATTTCTACTTACATTTATTTGTTGTTTGTATTTTTGGTGGCAATTAATTGTACGCTTATTTATTTATTAAGCATTTATTTATTTCTGTATTTATTTTTAAATATGGCAGAGTTGGTCCTCCATACTGCTGTATCAACAAATCAACAAAAAGGCGGGTTCTGTATGTTACATCAAAATCTCCACAAATCTGAAAAGAAGCAACATAAAAATACATTTTGCTTGTGAGTAGGTTCATACGGGTCATTTCTGGATAGTTTCATATTATATATACAAAAAAAGAAACAACAACACTGCTTCATATTAAGCAGGATTCACACCAGTATCACATTTTTAACTTTTAACACTTGGTTTTATTAAAGGAAATATCAGATTTTCTCAGGAGCCAAAACAAAATGTAGCAGCTCTGTAAAGGCTCACCAGAGAGCAAACATAAAGTTGACATGACTATAACAGCTGAATGCAGCGATTTCCATGTTGCTCAGCAAAACGCTTCACAACTTTATTTAGATCCAATGCCTTTGTGCGTTTTGATTTGAGTACAACCAAACTTGATAGTCTCTTTTCTGTCATAGTTGACCGCAAATATGTCTTTATGAGGCTGAGACGTCAGGCCTAACTAACATCATAGTTGGAGAAATAACGTTCTGCAACCTGATTTTTATCATCTCAAATTCAGCATTGCAGCTATGCTAGCAACATTGTGCTTTCATTATGATTTAATTTCTCGATAGATAGTTAATCAGTTTTTACCTGTTTCATCCCGTGTCTCCTCTCCCCATGGCCCCTGGCTCCCTCGCTTTGCCCCATTCGGTTTTCAAAACAATCAGTCTCAGTCGCTCTCGCGTCATCTCGTGCTGCATTCACTGCAGTCCGACATTAGAAATTAGCGGTCGTAATTCTGAAATGATCCATAATTTATAAGCCTTGCCACCCCTACCGCCAACTGGGGTGGCAGCAGGGGTGGCAAGGCTGTCATTTAGGGTGGCATTTGCCACCCTATGCCACCCCAGTAGATCCGCCTATGCCCTTAATTTGAGTAGGTAAATAAGAGGATTTGCCAATGAAATTAGTATATTTAGTCTTAAAGTAAGATAATAAGATAATAATAATCTGAACTTGAAATAAGACAATGCAATAGTTTTTTCTTATTTTGAATGTAAATGTCTTGTTCCATTGGCAAAGTGTCTCACTTTCGTCCTCAATTCGAGAAAAAATGCACTTATTTTAAGAAAAAAATGACTTACTTAGATTTCCACTTTTTGCAGTGTAGACATGTGCACAAGAAACCTAAAACAAACCAGTTACAAACTACATTAAGGCGATCAGATTTTGACTTGCGATTCCAGCGACAGTTCTGTTCATAGCGACAGATCAATGTTTTTCAAATATAATTTTATTATACAATAATACGGGAAATTTACAGGAAATTGCTAATATGGGAGGAAAGTGGGAAGGACAGGTAAAATACAATCAAAACAAGAGACTTGACACCGGAACTCAATTCATTCTTTCTGTGAGAAAGTCAGTCATGATGACGTGGGTTTGTAAGGTCATCTGCAGCTGTCTTTCAAAATAAGCGTTAGCACAGGAAGCTGAACAAAATATTAAAAAAAATCATTTTTAGTAATGTAAATGTTATTGTTGGGGAACCATATCTTTCCATTTTGTCCCGTGCCCAGCCCAGGCTGTCAGCTGCCATGCATTTATTTTTATTTCTGTGTGGAGGTTTACAAATTGCTTTTCTTCCTTAACTTTTGCAGGAATCCAACTGTCACCACATTCCTTTTTTTATAACTTCTGTATTTTCTAAATGTTTCATTTTAGGTGTGCAGGTGTGAAAGAGAGGAAGCATGTAGTTCTCTGAAGACCTCTCACCTGTTTCTTCCTTTCTTATGCCTCCTTGTCTCTCTCTTCTTCCCAGGGAGGAGAGCGAGAACGTTTTAACCCTGAAGGGACTGACTCCCACAGGCATGCTGCCCAGTGGGGTCCTGTCCGGGGGCAAGCAGACCCTGCAGAGTGGTGAGCGTTTTACATACACGGCAGCCCTACACAGCCATCTACAGAGGAGGTCAAACCTGTGGAGGTTTTACATTTTGTCATGTTACAACCAATAACACATTTTATTTGTGATTTTATATGAATATTGTACATTTTTCCAAAATGTGGAATGAAAAGTGTAACATTAATTTGGTCTAAACCCTTTTTACGGTGATATCCTTAGATTAAATCTGGAACAACTACTAGAAATAGAGTTGATTTGTGTAGATTTTGGCTTTTAGAGAATATAACTGAAAAAGAAAATAGCATCATAAGGAACACACTGTTTAAAGTCTGGTAATGCATTCAAATTGATACCACACTTTAAACATATCACAGATCAGAAAAGAGAATCTACTGAGAAGCGCTTTATAAGATACACGTCCAAGCTCTGAGTTACTCTGGAGGAGCAGCAGAGATCCACATCTCAGGGTAGAGGTTTGATCAACTGGATTAATTATTATCTTCAGAATTTACTATCAAGCAACCGCTCAGGAGGAAAAACGCAGTTAAAAGAGATAGACTTACACTTATACTTAGACTCAACTTGATTTATTCCTTGGGATTACTCCTTCAGGGAAATTCTTGTTCCAGTAGCTTATATAGAGCTCAAAAGGCAGAGTTAAAGCAAGATGCCATTAAAGATACAGCAGACACTATAAAAAGAGTGTTTATAGTACAAGAGAGCATAACAAAATTATAATGTCCTGGAATATGTTTCCTTTAGATATAAAGATATAATATAGTATAATTTAGCCTTAGTGGCATCCATTATAAAAGGGAGCACAAAGCATGCTGGAGACCAGAGGTTCCACAAGGCTTTTTCTCAGCCTGTCATTTTAATAGTAAACGTCTAATAAATTCTGTCATAATCTATTTTCCCTATCATTTTATATTTGTTAATGATAATAATTAAAGCATTTATTTTCAAACAGATGAATATGGGTACCTTTTTCTCTGCAGTAACAACAAACATTCTCACAGCATCCTCCTGCCTCACATGGACCTGAATTGATATGAATTGTACGCCCACTTGTCTGTAATTACATGTCTCAAGTTGGATACCTGCAGAGGCTTTTGAATCAAACAGATCACTTCTCATCAATGTTTTTCTGTTTTTACTCTGCCACCTCACTAGAGATTGGAATTAGATGAGCCACTTTAGCCAAAGCTGAAAAATGTGGGAAAATTTCACCAAGTGAGTTGATCAGAATTGGGTAAGATAAGGGATGAAATTTGCTTGAAACAGCGAATTATTACATCATATGCTACCAAGTGGTCAGGGTGTGAATGGCTATATATCAAAATGACAGATGGCTTTCAGATTTTTATTTGGTCAACATGGACCCTGTTTGAGCTGTAGCTAACATGTGGCAGATTGTGCTCTGATCACATGTGTACATGTGGGAGAGGTCTTTGAACACACCACACCCGCCATGATGGAAGCATCCCGCAGCATACAGCTTAAAGTTAAGGGCACCATCAGGTCTCAGGAAATAAGGAACCAGGTCTTAGGAAAAAAAAGCCATGAGGTCTCAGGTTTTACGAAAATTGTTTAAGGATCTCAGGAAAAAAATAGTCAGTTCTCAGTTTTTAGAAATACATTTATCAGGCCTCAGGAAATAAGTTGTCAGGTCGAAAGAAAAATATTCAGGTCTTAGCAAAGATTTGTAGATTCATAGGAAAGATATTTCAGTTCTTAGGAAAGATTTGTCGAGTCGTAGGAAAGATTTGTCGGGTCTTAAGAAAGATATGTCAGGTCTTAGGAACGTTTTGTCGGGTCTGAGGAAAGATTTAGGAAAGTTTTGTCGGGTCATAGGAAAGATTTGTCAGGTCTTAGGAAAGATTTGGCGGGTCTGAGGAAAGATTTAGGAAAGTTTTGTCGGGTCATGGGAACGATTTGTCGGGTCTTAAGAAAGATTTGTCAGTTCTTAGGAAAGATTTGGCGGGTCATAGGAAAGATTTGTCAGGTCGTAGGAAAAATTTGTTGCGTCTTAAGAAAGATTTGTCAAGTCTTAAGAAAGATTTTTCAGGTCTTAGGAAAGACTTGGCAGGTCTGAGGAAAGATTTGTCGGGTCATAGGAAAGATTTGTCAGGTCTTAGGAAAGATTTGTCAGTTCTTAGGAAAGATTTTTCGGGTCATAGGAAAGATTTGTCAGGTCTTAGGAAAGATTTGTCAGTTCTTAGGAAAGATTTGGCGGGTCTGAGGAAAGATGTAGGAAAGTTTTGTCAGGTCTTAGGAACGATTTGTCGGGTCTTAAGAAAGATTTGTCAGTTCTTAGGAAAGATTTGGCAGGACAAAGGAAAGTTTTGTCAGGTCGTAGGAAAAATTTGTCGCGTCTTAAGAAAGATTTGTCAAGTCTTAAGAAAGATTTTTCAGGTCTTAGGAAAGACTTGGCGGGTCTGAGGAAAGATTTGTCGGGTCTGAGGAAAGATTTGTCAGGTCTTAAGAAAGATTTGTCGGATCTACGGAAAGATTTGTCAGGTCTTAAGAAAGATTTGTCGGGTCTACGGAAAGATTTGTCAAGTCTTAAGAAAGATTTTTTTGGGTCTTAGGAAAGACTTGGGGGGTCTGAGGAAAGATTTGTCAGGTCTTAGGAAAAATTTGTCAGGGCTTAAGAAAGATTTGTCAGTTCTTAGGAAAGATTTGGCGGGTTATAGGAAAGATTTGTCGGGTCGTAGGAAAGATTTATCGGGGTTTAAGAAAGATTTGGCGGGTCTGAGGAAAGATTTGTCAGCTCTCAGAAAACGATGGAGTTCTTTTTTTTTTATTAAATGTAATTTTTACCATCCAAGCAGATATTTGATTAAAAAAAAATCCACATTCTCACTCACAAACATCAAAGATCTCTCTGTTATGCATGATTCTAGTGGGTCAAAGCAGACTGCCCCAACTTGGACAGCAATGGTTGTCGATGGTTTTTTAAAATTAAATATCGGCTTATTTGGCCTAGATTCCTTAGAATTAAAAAAATAACAGGTTCTTTTCCACCTCGCAACTGTGCATTTCGTTTAGCTGGTTCCTAAAATAAAATCCCAAATAATTTCATTGAATCGTGTGGCTGTGACATGACAAAATGTGAAACTCTCCAATAAGTGTGAACCCTGTAACAGTAGAGACTTCCTAATTGACAAAGACACTTTCCGTTTTTACCCTGAAACACACCTTGAGAGAATCTCCCAACACACTGACCTGCTTTGAATCATCCTCCCCCCTTTTCTCTGCTCACACCTTTTTGCCTCACTGAATCACTCACTCCACCTCACCTCACGTCGCCCAGGATACTAACAGCCTGCTGACTGTGTGTGTGAGAGATCATGTATGAGTCCTGCTGTGGAGACAAGTCAGAAAAAACGGAACAAGGGTGCTATTAATTAGGTGTGTGTGAGTGTGAGACAGAGAGCTACTGAGCTAACTCCGGCTGCTGCTAACACCAGCTGCTTTCTGAAGCTGCAATGATCTCAGTAATGCTTTCAAGGGCTTCTTTTCCTGTCCAAAGCCTGAAACATGCCATGAATATGTCACTTTAACACCCAGGGGTATCATTTGAACACACCTGTAACCCGTTTAAATCAGGTTTTACCCCGACATGCTTATTTGAGCTGACATTATAAATTCCTTGTTTACTGTTTATGCTGTTCAAATGTGTACTTAAAGCTAACATGCGATAAGCATTAAAAACATTTATTTAATGAAAAAACTAAGAAATATTCTTTAGAAAAAGTACTTTTAAACAGATATTTTATTCTTCTGTGTAATAAAGCAGTTCTGATAGTAATTAAGGTTGAACTGTGTCCATCTTTCCCCTATAACATTATATTATTCCACACCGGTAGAGGGGAAAAATATTTGAGAAAAAGTATAACTGTAAAACAGATATAATAATCATTTTAAATGACGACAGAAGTTATCATAGAGGTTTAGCATTAGTAGCAAAGTCTGCATTAGCGGTAGTTTTTATGCTTGTATTCTATTCCATAACTGAGATTCTGAGACCCTAACCAACAATGTTTCTGAATCTAATGAAAGTCTAAAAGGATAAAATAGAGCAACTCTGCTATTATTTTTTTTCCAGCCTTCCTGTTATCTGTAGGAAGTCTTGCTCTCTTGCAGCTTGAGTGAACTGCAGACAGGCTGTAGAAGCACAGCTTACTTCAGCAGACATCATTTTAAAAGTCACCCTGGTAGCGATGACATGCTTTAGTATTCTTCAACATTAACAGAGTTATGATGCATTCACTGATTAGAAAGAGACTGGATTTTTGAGTTTCTGCCCAGCTAGTCTCAGCTTAGCCTATTTTCTGGTGTTCCTAATAATGTATCAGTTAATGCAGAATAAATGGTCTATGAAGAAACTCCTAAATCTTATACATTGATATATTGGTTCTTTTAATGTCCCTCCAGCACATACTTTAGTTGTTTTAGGAGTGTAGCTAATAGCTGTGGTGCCTTTCACACCCTTTTTTCTTTAACCCTGAAGCTGATTTTTGAATCCATACAAGCATGTTTCAGCCTTCACTTCGTTTTCCTTCTCCTCCTTCTTTCTCTGGATGCCATCTTCTCTTCCGGATTCTGTCTTCTCTCTCTTTCTCCCTCTCTCTTCCTGTCATTCCTCCTCTCTTCTTTCGCCATTCTTCAGCTACCATTGAGGCCATTGAAGCTATCGAGACAGTTAAGGACCCTGAAGGTAAAATCACTCTCATTCCACTGTGCGTGCGCGGCATGGCAGCGCGCTCAGCCGTCATAGATCTCCTTTACCCACAATGCACCAAGCCCTTCCAGCCGCATCAGCGCTCAGAACAACAGCCTAAGCCGCCACATGAAACACAACATCTCTTTTTCCTCCTTGTGGGAACAGCACATCGTCTCCACTTCACACTGTAACAATCGTCAGAACATAAGGTTCCTTTATATCCATATGGTGAGGGATGGGCTAACTCTGATGTGGTTTGTTAGTTTTTTCTTCCCCTCATGTTTAGGGATGATGCATTCATCTGTTTCCATACGTTGCAGCTTGAGTTACCTGTGATCACAAAATTAAAAAAAAGGGGTTTTATAAAGAAACAATCCAACTCTACAAACATCTATGCTGAATCCCAGCTTCCCAGCCTCTTTCAGAAACAGTCCCATAGGTGCATGGGTCATAAGATAGAGATAAGATGGGACACAATGGATAAATTCACTTGTTACATCAGCTCTAATAGGTAAAAAATAAAGAATAGAGATTTAATACAATAGAACAGAATAGAAAAAGCCCTTTATTTCCCCGCTATGGGGAAATTGTGGTGTTACAACAGCAAGAGATTATTGCATAAGTGGTCACACAAATGTGAACCTTAAAAAAACTGTATATATAAAAAAAGAAAAGAAAAGACATAGTTAAGAAAATAAACAAAACATTCTACACTCTGAAGTGTTTTTACAATGTTATTACTGTGCATCTGGAAATAATAAATAATCAATAAACAGCTGTGGACATTTTTACAGTAATTGAATAGAGTCTTCCAGCTGCTGGGAGGAAGGATCAGTGATAACGCACCTTGGTGCATTTAGGGTGCAGCAGTCTGTCACTGAAGGAGCTCTCTAGTTCTGCAACAGCTTCATGCATGGGGTGGGAGACATTATCCTACAGAGATGTTAATTTAGTTAGGATCCTTTTGTTTCCCACCTCCTGCACTGTGTCCAGAATGCATCCAATCACAGAGCTGGCCTTCCTGATCAGCTTATCCAGCCACTTTCTCTCAGCTACAGATAAGCCAATGCTTCAACAGGCAGCTCCATAGAAGATGGCTGATGCCACAACAGAGTCATAGAAAAGACTTCAGTCTCCTCTGCAGGAATAGTTTCTTACATACACGTATATATGTTGCATATATCGGATATATGCATTTAAGGTGTAAAAACAGTAAAGTTATCTTATGATCTGCTAGGGTGCATTGTGACAAAGGTTTGGTAGATGTATAAGTGAATAGAAGCTCTTATTAAACAGTAATTATTACAGAGTGGTATTGTAAAGTCTGACGGCAGAAGGGATGAACACAGACTGGTACTAAAGGAGCGGCTTAGCTCCTCTACAGTCTGCTGCAGAGGGTGACAGGTGTTGTCCATGATGGATGTGAGCTTGGCCATCCTCTCCTCGCGGCCACCTCCTCCACAGGGTCTAGGGCGCAGCCCAGGACAGAAATGGCCCTCCTCACCATCTTGTTCAGTCTCTTCCTGTCCTGCGCTGCTCTGCGCTGCCCGGGGCCCAGCAGACCACAGAGCAGAGTCATAGAAAGTCAATCATGTGATGCCAGTCATGTGATAAGTTTATTTGGGGCTAACTTCTTTAAAATGCCTATATCTGGTTCAGGATATGCAGTCCTGTGAAAACACATTTCCCCCCTTACAAATATATATATTTTTTTGTTGCCGTCACATGTTTCAGATCCTGTTTCAGTGAAAGAGAGCGAAGCTTTCTAATCACAGTTAATTCATGATTTTAAACCACTTTTCCTCTCAGAGTAAGGTTGGTTTGGATAGGTTATTCTCCCTGATTTAATAAAATAATCATTAAAACAACAGCAACTACCTTTTACCAAGGATATCTGTTTTCAATATTTAAAAATGTTCGACAATCTAAATAATTACAGTAAGTGTGACCAAAAAAAGCCAAAACTGAGACAATCGGTAAGGGAGAAAATATTTATTCACACCCCTGTATTTGTGTTTAAGACATTTCTAGACTTGAACGCAGGGATGTGAAGCTGAATAACATTTCAATCTGAAGCTGGGAAGGTCCATTATGTCCCTTTGTGCTTCTGAACAGATCGTTGTTGTGGCTTCTGTGCTGAGTGAAGTACTTGGTGATCCGTCTGCATGTTTTACTGTGTAGTGCTGTCTTCAGCTTACCTGAAGTACAGTCCATAATTTGTTTATTTGAATTAATTATGGAAACCTCCTGTGTCAGCTTACTGCCTTTGTGTACGTTGATTTAAAGCTGATGTTGTAGATGGTGATTTTGAATATAATCAAAAGTTTTCTGACAGTCGCCTTTGTTCAAAAGTGAAACTGCTCATCGTGGGTCTTGGAACCTGCTGATTTCAACCCCTATGTATTTTCGAATCATTGGTTTTACCAAACAGTTTATACTTTAAAAGGGAAAACTAAAGATAAAACAAGGCAAACTGTTTATAAAACTCCTTCAGAGTAATTAGTTTAATGATAAAAATGGAAAGAACAGAAGTATAAAATCGAAGGTATGAGAAGGTATTTACTTTCGCTTATTAATTTTTATTGGCATTTTTTTGTTTTCTCATTCGGGTGGAAGAGAAAAGCCAACGATTTTCACTTTCAGTCTTGAGACTGTTGAGTGACTCATCATGCAAACAGCTCTTCCTGTTAGACCACACTTTGTCAGCTCATAGTGAGGCAGCTTTTAAATGGTGTAATTTATAGTGATTCTTGGCAATAAAACAACTCAGTTAGAAGAAGCAGAATGGAACATGCTAGAAATAAGATAGATGGTCTATGGTTAATTCATTTTTTATTGAAGGGGATCAGAGCAGTGGTGGACGAAGTACTCGACTATAGTACTTGTGTAAAAGTATTGATACTCGTAGTAAAAGTTACTCAATTATTGAAGTATTCACTTTTGAAAAAACTTCACATTCAAAAATACAATTAAAAATTATAATATCAGTACATTTCCACCTGATGTATTGATGCATAGAACTACCTGCTACAGAGTCTACACCATCTGTTAAGAACCTCAACATAAAAAACCCACAGAAAATAAGGAAAGCTTGTTTGATTGTTATTTCTTCTTTAAAAAGAAATGAAAAAGAAGGCGGGAGAGTCTGGATTTTCCAAACACACTTTCACTATGGAATAGAGGTTTAACATTGAATCTATTGCCACAAAGAAACTACAACTCTGCTTTAAGAACTCGGCAAAATGGCAGCAACTAACGTTTTGATTAAATTATTAAACTAATAAAATAATATCTGCCCTGGTGTGGAATGTCATGCTAATCTCTAAAACAGTGTAGTCCTAATTCCATCCTAAGGGCTGCTATCTTCCATGTTGAAACTGCATTTCAAGAGAGAAAAACAGCAACAGTGGATTTCAAAACTAAGCTGAGCCAAAAGGAACTAAAATCACTGCAGCTTCCTCAAAATGTAGGGGAGTAAAAATGTATAAGTACCCCAAAAATTTCTCAAGTAAAGTAAAGATACTCAAAAAAGGTACTTAAGTATAGTAATCAAGCAAATGTACTTTGTTACTTGCCACCACTGAATCAGAGTAAAGGCAGCTGAATTCAACAGTTCTGTTTTTATTTGTAAAAGCCTTTAAAAGTACTGATACTTATAAGTAACAAATGTATAATGTAGGTAATGACAGCTGTAAGGACACTGGACAATGCATTGTATTGGTTTTTGATCATATGAATCCTTTTTTTTTTACCGCAATAAAATCTGAATTTAATACAGTAAAATGTATGGCTATGATGATGAACTATTACCACTGTAGTGATGGGAAAGGCTGAGATTTAAAACAAAATGAAAATAAAACCAGAGTGGAATGGTTATGGTGGAAGGCTCCATGTAGGAAAAATCAATTTCATTAAAACGTAAAGAAGGGAATAATAAATCGCTTTCATAAGTTTGAGAGATTTGATGATAACGCAATCAACATTAGAACTGGCCAGTTGAATTACTGGTGCATTCTTTCTTTGTCTTTCTTTTAATTTACATTTGTGGATTAGGAAAAAATGTTATAAAGTGATAACCTGCCAAAAAAACAAAGAATGTTTTGAACAAACGGCTGACTGTCTTCGATCAGACGTAGCGTCTTTGCAGCTGTGCTTCCTGTTTGCAGTGGCTCAGTCACCGTGGCTCTCAGACTACTGATCTAGGATCAATAAAGGGTTTCTGCTCAGTGTCGCTGCCATGCCAACCCTGGGTCAGATTAATCCTAGCTCAGCATTCAGACCAGCAGAGTCTCCCTGTGTGTGTTTGTGTGCTGACTTCGTTGTAAGAGATGTCCAGATGTGGCACATCATTGTTTATCCAAACCCCCAGCTATGAGCATTGGGCTCAGAGTCATCTGCAGCTTTTCAGCCATGAACACATATTACATTGGGAACAAATATATAATAATATCCACATATGCATTCAATTCCTGTCATATTCATCAGAGCCTAAAGGGTTTGGATACACACAGCCAATGCTGACTGTTTTGGTCAAAGTTAACTGCATGCGTCTGTGTGTGTGTGTCCGCAGCCATTCGAGGCTTCTCTCCGCAGCACCGGATCAGCAGCTTCGAGGAGGCCAAAGGTCTGGACCGGATTAACGAGAGGATGCCGCCTAGACGCGACGCGGTCAACAGCGTGGGCCTGTCGATGGGCCGCATGAACATGGGCGAACCCAACGGCACCGACAACAACAGCAATATCCAGTGATCGTCAGAAAAAAAAACAAACAAAAAAAACTTTCCCACCTGCCTGCAGTCTCTACAGTGATATTTATCCAGTCGTGTACATAGGCATATATACACCAGAACAAGTCATCGCACATTTAGTAGACAAAATCACACACTACACTACACAGACATGATTATATATAGCCCCTTCCCTGATGCCCACAGCTGTTATTTAAAGGCATGACATAGCCGGACTTTACCACAGAGAGGCTTTGGGGAGGGGGTTCTTTCCTGAACTGATCAGCCCGGTTCTTCAGAACCGAGACTCCCCTGTACCTGCACAACAACAGGAGAGCAGATCAGGACTCTGAAGAGAGCTGCTGCGGTTTGCCGTGTGTTTTGGGGGACGGTGTCAGCGTGATGTGCCTGCGTCGCTATGTGTGTGTGTGCTGTGTGTTGGGGTGGGGTGGGGGGTGGGTGCGGGCGGGGAAGGGGGGGGTTGAGAGATGGCGATCAAGGCTGGAAACATTTGAAATAAAAGGAGTCTCTTCCTTTCTTTTTTTCTGTGTGGATCCAACAACTGATGGGGAAGTGGGTCTGGGAGGATATACCTGCCATGCACTAACACCTGTCTGTGAGAATTAGATTGAAAAGGTTTTTTTTTTTTCATGTTTGGAGCTCGCATCAAGAGAGTCAATTTAATGGGTTTAAGAGATGATCTCAGCTGTATTCAAATCAGAGCCCTCGCTTTCCTTTACCTCTGCGAATGGTGTTTGCTTCTGTAGGTGTTCTCCTCTTATAGTCAGGTGGAGGATTCCCACCCCTCAATCCCCTCAATCAGAGCTCTGGTTTCCCAGCCAAGTTGGCTCCCAAGAAAGGCTTGAAGACGGGCTCATGTATGAGCAACCCCCCCCCAATTGTTGCATATAAATACATAGAGGTTTATCACAAGGTACAAGATGCAGTATAGTAGAAGAAGAATGCTTTATATAAGTGTGAGGGGTTAAAATGTGAAGTCATGCCCTCCGTCCTCTTTCTGCATCCTCCTTTCTTGCCATGTTGCCGCCTGCTGCCAAACAGCAGCCATGGCCGGGACTCGCTGGCCTTCAAAGCAGGAAGTGATCTTTCAGAGGAAAACAGACTCTTCTGGTGAAGGAAGCAGCCAAAGCAGAGAGCAGAAGTCAGAGGAAAAGGTCTTTGTAAAGCATTTATATTAAAGCATCAATGCATGCACAGTTAAGTTCTTTGATAATATGTGAAGAGTATATTTGTGCTATGTGTTTGGCTATGGTAGGAACTTTTTTTTTCTTCTACTGGGTTTTTTTTGGCTAATATAAGCAAACAGAGGTAAGAGGAAACGTTTATTTTGTATATATTGTTAACTTAATTTATTTTTTCTATTATTTAGAGTGTTCTCTTTCTTTTTTTCACAACTTGTGTTCTTGGGTTCGTTTTGGACGCTGTACAGAATGACGGTACGCTTCAATTCAGAGTGTCAAGTCCACTTTTTCTCCTACTTTCTTCGCCATTGTACAGGAGTTGTTTTTAAATGATAAACATAAATAACGAATATTAAACTAGCATCGATGAATGACCATCCTATATACCGAGGCACAGGCATCCAGGCAGCCGAAAAGCATGATTGCATGGTTGAAATTTGCGCTGTTGAAAAACAAAAAAGCAGCGAACACATTTTACCAGATGAGCCGGTGTGTCACAGTTCAACGGAAAAATATGTTCTCTCTTTCATCATTGATGATTCCTCTTGTTATTTGATGATATTTATGATTATTATGGTTCTATTTATTATGGACATTATTCTTAATATGTAAACTCGCTCTCTCTCTCTCTGCTGGTTGCTCTTCATGTTGCGTTGCTCCTTGGTTGATCTTGTGCTTCTTTGGGTGAGGTGAACCCCCCTGGGAGACCCTGTGCCATAGAAATTGTGCCACGGTTCAGAATCTTTTTCTATCTACTCAAATTTGTTTATTTTTTTCTGCTGGTTCTTTTTGTTCTGTTTATCTTGTTAAGTTATTGTATGGCTCTTTTTTCCTTCTTTATTTCTTTACATTTTTTTTCATTTTTTTGTTAGTTTTTTTTCTTTATTCATTTCTTTTGTTTATTTCTTTGTTTTTGTTTATTTTTTGAGTTACTCTTGATTATTAATTGTAACATTTGTGTTTTTGTTTATTTATTTCTTTCATCTTTTCTTTCTTTTGTTTTTTTGCTGATTCCCCATGCACTAACACTGTAAGCATGACCCATGGGACGATCCACTTTTTTACTCTTGAATAAAATATGCATGAACCTTTACGGATTACGAGTCTTTTTTCTTATTCACACACACAGAGACACACAGTAGGGCTCTCCTTCCTCTGGTTTACCCACAGGACAGGATATACTTCTAAATGGGAAAAGTTTCGAAACAATAAGGTCATTTATTTTGTTAAAATTAAACTCTGGACGGTTTGGATTCACAGCGGTTTCATTTTTAAACTCAGAGGGCTATTTTAATTTGGGTCGGTCAGAATGCAATTCAATTAAAATGATCAGGTTTAGAGAGCAATTAATTGGTAGTAATATAGATTTAGACCAATTAATAGAGTAATCTTAGACTTTTGAGAAAGATTCTAGTAATCTAATTACTTGAGAGAGGCAAGTGTCTGAGTGCTGGAGATAAAGTAATAGATCATCTGCGTAAAGACTAATTTTATGCTGTGTTTTTGTTCCTTTTATACCTTTAACCACATTAGTTTGTCTGATTGTAGCAGCTAGATGCTCAACAAAAATGGCAAAAAGTGAGGGGGAGAGCGGGCATCCCTGCCTGGTGCCCCTCTGGAGACATAAGTTGAAGGATATTTGATTATTTGTCCTGACACAGGCTGTTGGGAAGCTGTATAATATTTTTAAACAAATTATTAAGGAACTGCCAAAGCCAAATTTATGTAGAGTAGCAAATAAACATTTCCAGTTTACTCTATAAAATGCTTTTGCTGCATCTAAAGACAATATGTAGGATTTTATATTTTTATATACAGTATAAATTCAACATTATTAGGAAATTAGTGTTATATTTACACTAAACAGGGAGCTCAGAAAATTAAAATGGTTACAGAAATTTGTGGTGTCATAAAAAAACAAAACAAACATCAGACATTACATTTAAAAGTAAAAGTAAAACGAGACCAAAGAAGATATTTTTCTGAGCAAACATAGATGCTGGTTAACCTATTGGTAACTGTTAACCTGGTCTGGTTAAGCTGTAACCCACACATATCCACACACTAAGTGTAAGAAAGACCGAAATAAAACTTGTGAAATATTAACACAGGAAAGCTAAAATGTCTTGGCCAGTGCCCAGCTATGGTCCAACGCTTAGCTGCAATTTATTCACTCATATGTACATTTCTAATTATTGTTTTTTTTTAATTGAAGATGAGTTGTACAAGTGTATGTGTGTATCAGACACATTAATCCAGTGTCATTATAGCCCTTAGACTCGGTGACCCATGTTACCAACCTTTTTGGCAGGGGGGCACTTGAGTTTAAATGTTTTATTCAGTATCACTACAGTGGTGTTGTGATGTGTCTGATAAGTCAGATCAGATGCAGTGTCCAGTCAGTAGCTGTTATCCAACAAGAAGATCATTCAAATTTAAAGATTAATTTTTATTGTGGTTTGACTGCTGTATTTTTAACCCTACTTAACATAAAATTGATTTAATTCAGCTGTGAGGATGGAGAGAAAGAAGAGAAGATGACAGAGGAAGAATCAGGACAGACAGGGAAAGCAACAGGTTGGTCTAATATTAGGTGGAAGTGAGGGAACAGCTACTTAATCCAAATAGATAATGTTTAAACATTATTTTTAAAAACTACATTAAGATCTGTAATTTTTACAACTAATTTATAATGCTTTTTGACCATATGACTTAGTGGAGAACGCCACAGACAAGGGGTGAAGGAGACAGACATGAGGTCGGTCATAGAAGAGACAAGTGAGGACATCAGGTAGCAATAAATACATTACGGAGGCAGCAAAAACATATATACCACAATGGTTTGAATTTGTGATGACCATGTGTTTTCGCATCCGCCTCAAAAATATGTAGTTGCGCCCCTGCATGCTGCATTCTCTGTGTTGCTAAGTGAGCATAAGGTCAGACACAGGACTACATAACGTAGTACAACTGCTTCCATATTTGGCAAGCCAGCCAGATATTTACATTCTATAACCCATATCCTCCCTCTGGGTAGTGCACTTTACAGGCGACTCCAGATTTGGTTGCATAACCAAAACAGAGGTGATTGCTTATTAATTAAGCCAATGAGGGTTTGTATTCTTGAAGTGGACGGGATGTAAAAAAAAAACAAAACAAAAAAATGAATACAAATCCCAGGCATCAAACTGACTTTCAGTTTCAGGCTTTTATGTTGAAGAAATCACTTTTGTAGCTGATGTAACTCTCCAACAGTTCTGGTTCATGTTAATTAGAAATAGGGAGGGACTGAGGAGATTCGGGTAAATGATAAAAGGCAAGTAATTACTTTAAATGTATGCTTGAAATCCTTTAATTTAAAAACAACCGCAGACAAACAGAGCAGTTAATAGCAAGTTCAGGCTTGTATCGATGACTGAAGAATTTAACGCTGAACCTGTTCAGTAATGTAAGGAGAAGAGTTTAACTCAAACCGCTGGAAAAAGGATCGTACCTTGTTATCAGTTAACTTTAAAGCAATGAAAAACTGTTCATTCGTTGACTTTTGTCACGGTTGCCCCTTATTGCTGCTTCTTTTTAAGGGGCTTTGCATGCAACTAGCAAGAGAGCCACTGGTAAATCTACAAAGCATCTGCCTCCTTTGAAACCCAATAAAATATGGTAAAACATGGCAAGATTCCAGGGGTGTGAATGCTTCTGCAATTAAATCTACCGTAACTTAGAGAAACCTCTATACACCTGAAACTTAGGGTAGTGGAATCTATCGACTTGCATCTGAGGCAGTTAGCCAAAATAAAGTCCTTCAGGCAGTTTGAAACAATAATTTATGCTTTTATTACATTGTGACTGGATTACTGTAACACATCATGTTTAGGGAGTAGTGACACATCTGTTAGGTGCCTGCAAAGTGTCCAAAATGCTGCATTATGGCTCTTGACTGAAACAAGACAGTGTGTGCACGTCACCCCTGGTTTAATGTCACTCCATTGGTTACCTGCATATTTTACAATCCATGTTAAATAGGTTGAGGTGGCCCTTTGGCCAACTCTGGTAGGTGATTTGTTGTTCTCGAGCAGTTGCTCTCTAAACTAGAGGGTGGCGGGTAGTGATATTCTCAGTTCAATTCATCCATCCATCCATTTTCCGACATGTTTTGCGAGGGCTGCTGGTGGCTATCTCCAGCTGTCAATGAGCGAGAGGCGGGGTATACCCTGGACAGGTCACCAATCTATCGCAGGGCAACACAGAGACAAACTCACACCTAAAGAGAATTTGGAGAAATCAATTAACCTAACAGTCAGGTTTTTGGATTGCACAGGGAGAACATGCAAATTCCAGACCCCAGGCCGGGAATCAAACCTGGAACCTTCTTGCAGCAGTGCTACCCACTGTCCCACTTAGCAGCTCCAGTTCAATTCGGTATAATTTATTTGTATACATTAGCACCGATTCACAACACATGTTATCTCAAGGTACTTTACAGAAACAATACAATAAGACTGGTTAAAAGTTTCTTTCACGGAAAACCAGCTGATTGCATCCAATAATTTCTTGCAAGATGTTTTCCTCCTGAAGGAGCTTGCAGCAATGATTTTCACTTGCATTTTGCCTTTAGCTCTTCAGCAATCCCTCAATCCCTTTTAAAAGTAATCCCTTTAATAAAGAGATGGAGATAGAAACAGACATCGAGCTCTGGTGAAAGTCATCTTTCCCCATGTCTGCTTCCGTCTCCTTAACCCCAGTTCACCTAAGTAGATGGCCACTCACACTGAGCCTCGTTGTGCTGGAGGTTTCTTCCTGTTAAAAGGGAATTTTCCTCTCCACTGTCGCTACATACATGCTTGGTGTAATGGATTGCCGAAGAGTGAATGAGCCGATGCAATCAGCTGGTTTTCCTTCACAGAAACTTTTATCCAATGTAACTTTACTGTCTCCGTAAAGTGCCTTTAGATGACATATGTTGTGAGTTGGCGCTATATAAATACACTGAACTGAATTAAAAAAGAAATAAATATACAAAAGATAACTGTTAACTAGCTGGCCTCGTCCAGGAGAGACAAATCCAAGCAGACAAGCTTGGTTTGGACATGGAGTCACCGTCAAACAGGAAGAGACCAGATGAAGCTACTAAGACAAGAAAAAGCAGAGAGTAGAATGAAGTAGAATGAGGAAAAGTGATCCCTATGTCCTCCGGCATCCTAACTTATAGCAGCAAATCTATAGAAAATCAGGATAACCTAACTATTTTGGATGAGGTAAAAGAAAGTTGGAGCCAAAATAGGGCCAAGGTAGCTCTAAGGAGAAACGTCTATCCGGACTGACTTCTAGGACGCTTAATCATGCTTTTCACTTTTTTTCCTCTTAATTCTCTACTTACCCAGAGACTAATCAAACATCACTGTTTTTAAGCTTTATCCCAAAAAAAAAAAAAGTTTTAAGCCTAATTTGAAATTATGTTAGTATATTAACCATAAACTGACAACAAAAAAAGCAGTAGTTAATTATTGACATCAATGTACGAACAGTAAAGATAAAAAATACCAAATCAATGCACTTTTCGGAAGTAGTTTTTATGTTTTATAGAGAAGGCAAGTCATCAAAGAATCTCTTATGTAAAAATAGATAAATATCTACTATTTCAATGCGATATGCAATAATTTATGTATATATTAATATTTTTCAGATTGATTACAGTTTTTTTTCAGTCACTAACAAGCGTTTGTCCAATCAGTTGTCAAGTCTTCAAAACTCTAAACACAATTAGCACAGCATCGGTCGATTGGGGCCATAGCATTTATACATTTCATGTTATTTTCACACAATATGGAGTCAGTGAACACATTTCCACAACGCTTACATTTTCTTAACCGACAAGCTATACCTTCCACCAAAATAATGGATTGTTTTTGTAGTATTTTCAATTGAAAACACACACCATCCCACAATAGCAAAAACAATATTTCAAACCTTAGATACAGTATAAAAACTCTGTTTCTGCAATGATATCAATTCAAAAACAAAATACATGAGGACCTTTGCAGTTAGCTGGGACAATGTGGCTTTCCATGATTCGCAAGCAATAACAACATTGTTTAAATTCACCCAAGACCGGTAAGTCTCTTCCTTCCACCCTATTCACCTTTCCTCAACCCCATAGAGGAGTTCTTTTCAGCATGGAGGTGGAAGGTTTATGACCATCAGCCACATGATCACATGTCCCTCCTTGAAGCCATGGATGCTGGCTGCAGGGACATCACAGTTCAAGCGGTTTTATCCCAGCTGCATCGCCTTGGATAATATCAAATGTGATGTTGACGAAAAGATGTGGCCTAACCCTGAAGATCTCAGAGATTAGATATAGCAGTGCTTTATATTTTCTTTGTTCCCCCAATATTTATCTGGACTTGTTGCTGTTGTTTTTTTGTTCAGAATGATCTTGTGTGTTTCATGGATATTTTGTTCACTGTAAGAAATACTGTAAAACCTTTTATGTTCTATCAAACCGCGATTCTACTGTACCTACTGTAGAAACAGTACAGGGGGAAAAAAAACTGATTTGCTAGATTTACTGGAATGCTTTTTAATCTAAACATTACTGTATATGTGGACATACAGTTACCAGCCAAGAAATTTAGTGTAAAAAATGTGGAATGCATGTTTTGCATGCAAATACCTGTAAAACTAAAACGTAAAAGTCTATGTAGTTTTGTAATGTCAACAATAGCCAGTATTTTGAAACCTGGTGTACTTTGATTGACTCCATGTACTTTGTTAAGTGAAAACAAGTGTCATTCTTTGTCAGAATAATTTCATTTTGAGTCAGATTACCAGTGTTTTGGTAAAGATAGTGTGTGCAGAGAAAAATGGGTTCTATGTTGAATGAAGAGTTAGTATATATTTAACAAAATATGTTTTTGAGAAGAAAATGATCCGTTTGGCCAATTGTTTGTTTGTAGGTGTGAGTCTGGGTTAAGAGTTTAGAGAAAGTATCTGAAGTATTTGTAAGCGCTTCTTAGTAATTGAAAACACTGTGAAGGTATAGTGGTTGATTATTCCAGAGATTTTAAGAGTTTAAGAACATCTATGTCCCGTTTTTAACAACTGCGCATAAATACCATCCTACCTAACCTCCTAAATGCTCTCTGGTATGCTTTCTTTCTTCTCAGGCCTTCCCCTTCTTTTCATTAACCTTTAAAATCATTTGCTTCTTGTGACACAATGAAGGGCTGAAACTGAAGCTCACTGAATACATAAACATTCACGAACACCAAGAGTACACCAAAAGATGCCACTGGATGTTTAAGGTGAAAAAGAATGTGCACTATACCTTTAATTTAGAAAGCAGGGATGGTAAATAGGCCAAGCTCATGCAGTATATTTATTTGCAAGCGCTTCAGGAAACAAGTCTTTACAAGTCTTAATACAGATGTTGTCGTTTATTTTCCTGTTGGCACAGAGTAGATTGACTCTGAACTGGTGTCTATTTGCTTATCCTCAATGCTGCTCCCTGCCTCCTGCTCACCCCTATGAAAACTGTCAAGCTCTGCAATGCAAAACATAAATTTTTACACAAGGGTGTTGTACTTAAACAGTTTTTTTTTAAACCTGTCTGTCTCCTGCATGTTTAATTTGCAATTTGTTCATCACTTTGTGATCCTCTGTTTGTTATAAATGGCTTTATAAATAAAGATGTGGTAAAACCAGGATGAATGTCTGTCTTTACTGCTTGAACATGTTTGAAGTGTTCCTGTAAGGTTCCCACCCTTCCCATTTTAGCATGGGTTGAGCTAGACCAACCCATTTACTTGAAATTACATAGAAAACAAATATTGAAACTTTAGATGAAAATGAAACTGAAAGTTGTTAAGAGGGGTGGAGTCAGTTCAGGAGTGGCAGACAGAGATCAGTGTACAGCAGAAATCTCTAACGCTCAGTCAGTAGGAGAATTCAGACGCATAGAGGTGAGTCTCTTCAAAAATGTACTTCCTTTTTTATAGTTTAGCAATAAACTCTTGGTGTTGATCAGCTGCCAAATTATCTTTTCCTCCTGTGCATTTCACAGAGGTGGAACACCTATCATACTGTGTGGGGGCTAATGCTCATTTCAGAGATCTTGAGAAATGGTTGTGCTTTTGTAATCCTCTTTACGATCCCTTTCTGAGGAATGATTACCCTTTTTTTCCCTTTATAAACCACAGTTTATTACAAAGAAAAAACTCAAACCAGATTGTTTCAAAACAGAAAAGAAAAACCTAGTTTAAATGACTTTAGTCATGTATTATACACAGAAGTCTTTAAGTAACAATTGTCCCCATTTCTCTAATTGACTGACTAAAAATGACCAGCAGCTAAGGTTGATCCTAAAGACATACATGCTGATTACGGATCAGTAGAACAACAATACAGACACACCTCATGGTAAATGTTTGCTTTGTAAAAATACACTTAATTAAAGAATTCAGGCATCTGTTTAATCTGGATTAGCATCTTTATTTATACTTAAAGTAACTAACGATGCCCAAATATATCCAACACATGTATGAATTGTTTACTGCATTCATGAGAATTTTGTTCTAAACACAGAGCAGAAAGTCCCTCCGTCAGGTCACAAAAGCCACAATCTGTAGTCGTTAATCTGATTTGAGATTATGAAAACAACCAAAATGACAACCAGCTGCTCATCTCTCACCTACATGTTTCCTTTTCCTCTTCCCCCCCACAGATGCTTTGCCTTCGAGATGAGGCCGTGCTCATCCCCCAGCCTCGTGGGAGTTTACCAAAAGTTTGTGCTGGATTGCTGGCTGCCATAGCAACAGGGGTATTGCTGTTTACATCGCCTGAGAGGATAATTAACCTGGTAGCTTTGGCCTCTCTGATTGTGACTCTGGGGCCTCTGCTATCTGGACTCTGTCTGCTGGCTGAAGAGGTGCTGCACCATTCAAGCACAAGGTCAGGCTGCTTCCTGCTCTATGGGGTGTTTTATTCCCCTTTAGAAGATCATAGATCTCCGGTTAAAGTTCTCAGAGTCATTATGCAGACTTTTTTAATCAATACAGACACCTAGCAGGTAAAGGAATCTATTGATGATAGAAGGACAATGATGCAGAACACAGCAGGTCTGATTCTCATTGGCTAAAAAAGAGCAAGTTGGTATTTAGACATATTTTGGATTTTAATTCAGTGGAAATGCTGTAGCATGCACTGTATTTTTGATCAATCAAGTATGTAGCTTTTGTTTCTCTCATTAATGTTATCCTTACTCATCTGCTCATTTTCGGTGGATGGTTACTTATAAGGTGACCTCTGCAGGGAAATGCCTTGAAGGTTAAAACAGCAATCCCCGTGTTGAATTTACTACCTTTTACTACCTATTTTACGAACCCCTACGATATTTTCACTAACAACACAAAATCAAGCAGGTCTTGACTAAGACCTCCTCACACATGCAAAACATTTGGTGATGTCAGAGTCTAAAAATGTTTTGGAGCAGCTCCTTGATGAAGTAAAAACTCCATGTATGAAGTAAAAGTGATGCTTTGGCTGCAGTTTTTAGGGACCAGAGAACCTCAGCTCTGAGCGCTGAAGTTGGTGTCAGAAAGGTCTGTTATCTGTCAATATTGCTGCTAATACTGGATTTAATTAAACAAAATACTCATTATTTTGTAAAAACTCTGCTCACTCTGATGTTTTCAGGTAGTTTGACGCCTTCCTTTATCAGTACATTTAACTGTATTGATTAGTCAGACTTATATTAATTAGTAATCACTTAAATAACTTAATAAGGAACTGCTGAATTTTTAATTAATTTTGCAGATATTGTCAGAAAGACCTCATTGGCTGGTTAGTTGACAGTGGGTGTGGCTAGTGTTGCAACACCCTGAACAACGTTGATTTTAGATTAAAGCCTTTTAATGTTTTGAATATTAATTAAAAAAAAACAGAATACAGAATAATTTAATGCAATTGAATGCTATAGATATATTGAAAAAAAAATGCAAAAAAATTAAAGTTCTCTTATGTCAAGGTTTGTTCAGGACTAATAAGTTCAATTGATATATGTCTGATATAAATGAATAGTCCATTTCTTACTGCTTTTAAAATCAGTTTTAATATAAATGAAGTTAAACGTGAATACCCATGTTTTTAACTTTTAGTTAAGTTTGTTGGTTTTCCTCGAATCATTTTAGTTTAATTTACTTATTAAGTTTTATAGTGAATACATACATTTTCCCATAATGAAGCGCAAAATGTTTCTCTAGTTTCAACATATAAGATGGTTCCAACGTTCTTCTGTGAGCACAGCTCCGGTCCTGTCGTATTATTATACAGATTTTATAGTTAAATTCACTTAAAGCAAAAAAAAGTCAGCATCAATGGGCCTAATTTGAGTTGATAAATGTTCTGCTTTTTGCTACCTTTAACTTCCTTGCTTAGTGTGAGGGATTGCCTTCCAGTCAATGAGTCGATGCAATCAGCTGGTTTTCCTTAGATAGAAAACTTTGAATCAATTTGACTGGATGATCTGGTGAACTGGAAAGTAGCTTGAGATGACGTGTGTTGTGAATTGGCGCTATAGAAATAAACTGAATTGAAATTGAACTGCTACCTTTAACTTCCCTATAGAAACCCTGTATGACATAGTTTGGAGACACAACTTACGTTTCTGTTGAGACTATGAATTTAACTCTGTGATGCTGAGTTACCAAAAAGGCTCCTCCTTGGTCTCTGTCTCTTGGTGTCCACCCTTTTGTTGTGTTTTTTTTTTTTTGTCAGGTATCGAGGCAGATCGCTGCTCGGCCACATTATGCCAGCCTGTGGGTTGGGGGGTAAGACTCTGCTGGCGGCAGCAATGGCCTGCCTCCTACTGTACGCCACCAAACACTCTCTGCACCACAAAGACCAACATTGGGAGCTTGTTGTTCTCGTTCCTGCTGTTTACACACTATTGAAAAGTCTGGCAGTCCTGGTGAGATTTTTTATGGAGGACCAACTCTGCCATATTTAAAAATAAATACAGAAATAAATAAATGCTCAATAAATATATAAGCATACAATTAATTGGAAACAAAAATACAATAAACAAATAAATGTAAGTAGAAATTAAATTATAAAGTGAGACATAAATGTATATAACTCTTAATTAGCTTCTTTATTTATTTGCCTTTGTAATATTTACCTTATTTATTTTTTTGTCCTTTATAATCTTCAACTTTATTTTTTAATTACCTATTACTTTTTAAGTATTTATTTATGTGCGTATTATAACATTTTTGTCTGTTTTATTCTTCCTTTGTATTTTTTTTACCTTGGTTATTTCTTCGCCGCTGTTTATTTCTGCCTGCCCTTTTTAGATTTCTGTCTGTTGTTTTTACATTTCTCTATGCATTTCTGTCTCATTATGCAAATGAGGAGGGGGTGTGTCCTAGAGAGTCAACATCTGCTCATTGGTTGGCGGCCCATCTTCTTAACTCACAGAGCTCAGAGTACTAAGTTAAATGTTGTTTTTCTGTTGCTGTTGTTCAATTAAAGTACGTTTTAAGATCATTTGAGGCGAGAACATTATGCTTTTAAGCATCACCATATGGCCCATTCACAGATTTAATGCGTAATTGAAAAGAAAATGTGACAAACTTGAGAGGACCGCGGCAGCCAGGTCTAACCGCAGCCCGTCTGCAGCAGCCCTCTCTCAGCATAGCCGTGTGTGAAGGACCGCTGGCTATGATGGCGGCTCTGTGAGAAGGTTTTTCAAAAAGAGCTATTTGCTTAGATGGGGCTTGCCTCATATATAAACTACTGTATAGCTGGTTTACCTGCGTTCATATATCTAGGCCTGCAACTAACAATCATTTTGATAATCAATTAATTTAACTGATATTATTATTCTATACCCATATTATTGTTAATGTAATAATTAATCTGTTGAGTGTTTTTTTTAAATAATAATCAGATAGCGAAAGGGTTCTTAATGGTGATTTTATACAGAATTAAACCTGATAAAACTAAAACTTTTCAACTTGGAGTTCTGAATATAATATATTGAAAAGAAAAAAATGTATTCTTTTATCTAAAATGGAAAATATTTATATATTTTTTCACTATTTTGGTATAATTACTACTCTAAGTGGTTTGCTGTCAGCTAAAGGCATGTTTCAGAGTCTCTATACTCCAATTAACAATTACTAATTTTTTATTAGTCTTTATGATAATTTCAATAATTGATTAATCTCACTTAATCTGATTAATTGTTTCAGTTTCCCCCCTTTTAAAAAGAGTCAGCTGTCTCCTAAATGAAGGTGCTGTGTGTGTATACAGGGTCTGTCTGAGGTGGAGGTGTCAGTCATCTGTGAGGAGAGGAAGATGAACGTGGCCCACGGCCTGGCCTGGTCCTTCTACTTTGGCTACCTGCAGCTGGTTCTCCCGAGTCAGTAACAGAACACACTCACACCAGCATACACACATAGAAACCATACACTCATACTGCCTTGTAAATGTTTTCATAGTTGTGAGACATTTCCACGGCTTTTATTCATTTTACGACAGCAAACTTTAGTGTATTTCACCGACATTTTAACCACACTGACGAACACAAACTAGTGAATATATAAAAGAAAGAAAAAGAAGGGTTAGTTGTTTTCAGATTCTTTTCAATATAAAAATCTGTAAACTAAATGTTGGATTTGCTTTTTCTCTGAATCTCTTTTAAAGGCAGATCGGCCTGCAGATGTTCATGTGTGATGTTTTCAACCATGGAGGCGGTTGTTATGTATATTTCTTGTTTTTAATGTGTGCATTTGTAACTTTGCAGCAGCCTGTTTTTGCCAGGAAAACCACGAAAATATATATTTAAAGGTATAGATGAGGATGTACATATTCCCGGGTGGATCATCAGAATAAGTGGTCCTCTAAATTGTCTGGTGAAATGTTCACCTAAGGCCGTCCTACATGCTCGTCCCCATTTTCACTTACCGGTGGTGAGCCTGACATAGTGAAAAAATTGCAAATCTTCTTTTGGAAATTAAGCTCGTATGAACGATGCAAACAGCAACTTGTGACCAGAGCATACGAGGAAAAATTGCACTCCTGCATGCTCTCGCATGTGTTAAATAGGCGTTCCCTCTTGGGAGCGGACAGAGCGTTGTGCATGTGGATCTTTTTTAAAGTGGAGAGGGCGCGTCTTTTCAAAACGTTGCATAAATGCTCCACTACACCTTTAAACTTACGTTTTGTTTTTTTTCTGGTGGAAAAAAAGGATTTACAAAATCTCTACCGAGACTCTAATTGGGTTTCTTCCAGCATTTTTAGTTTGTTTTCATCTTCCTATCAACTCTTAAAACGTCCTTCTTCTGCTGAAGATCAGAATCCCCGTGGCATATTGCTGCTACCGCCATGTTTGGGGAGTTCACAACTAATATCTACGAACCTGTTGCTCCTCAATAACTCTGTCAGTTTTGCTAGTTGTCCATGCCTTGGCAGGTTTCCTGTGGTTCCAAACTATTTCTTTTGAGATGTTTAAAGCTAGTGATATTTTGATTATAACCCATTCCTGCTTTGGACTCCACCCCGGACCTGTCTGCCAGCCTCCTCAGACTTCATGAAGACATTTGTTCTGTAATGTTTTCTAAAAGCCCCCCGAGGCCTTAGAACAGCTGCGCTATGAGATATAAACATAATAAAATACATTCATGTTTGGGGTGGTATAATTTACACACTTCGAAGAGTAAGAATACTTTTAAAAGATGTGGTATATATTGTTCTGATTTTCATCAACAGTGTTTAGATTTCCTGTGTGAATTTGGAGCTCTGAGTGGGTTTGTTTGGCCCTGTCCAGGTTTGGAAGCGTCCATCGATTCATTTCGTGCCTCTCACCAAGGCAGCTTCCAGAGCCGTGGCTCCCAGAAACTCATCGTCCTCATTCCTATCAACGCCAACATATCGCACAAGCTGGAGGACGAAGACAGTAACATCAAATTCTACGACAGCCTCCCAAACAGCCAGATGGACATGGCAGGAATCCGGGGCCGGGTCTACAAGCACAGCGTGTACAGAGTGCAGGACGAGCATGGGAAGGCAGGTGAACACCATAGCTATGAAAACAGTTCACTTACTGGTTATAATTTCACAGCTTGAATCAGAAGTTTGTTTTAAATTCAAAGCAGATTCACTTGTTTGATAAAATCAACGAATCAGGTATCATGCTGAGATCTAGTACTGATGGAATAAAACCCCAACAGCAGCCTTTGTTTGCTGGCGGAGGCTGAAATTTAGCAGTTATATCAGTTTTATACAGAGTTCACAGTGAAGCGAAAGGTTTAAAGGATTATTCTGTTAGTTAAATATCAGATTAGTGCACAAAAGAAATCATTTACAAACAGTTGCAATATTAAATGTTTTTAATGACACTCTTTACCGTAACAGCTAAAAAGGTTCTGCTGTTGTGGAATCTACTGTTCACCTTTACCTCATGTTTTATGGGGTTCCTCAGGGCTCAATTCTCGGTCCTCTCCCCCTTTTTTTTTTTACCTGGGGTTCATTCTTAGAAAAGTTCAGTGCAGTAGCTAGAGCAAAAAGTACTATCTGGCATGCAACTTCTTCAAAATGGTATATGCCAGTTCAAAAGGGATATGGGCCAGTTGAAAAATGGTAAATGTCATTTTTCTAAAATGGCAGGCCAGATAGCACTTTTGGCTTCTGGTATCACTTAATTTATTGAGTAATTAATTGGCCATTAACCATGATTTCATACATTTACAATATAAAATAAATATATGTGTCTTTCTATATCTTTTTTTATATTGAACAACGATATAGAAAAACACATCCAACACCGCGTCCCCCCCAATGACTAATATCTGTGTAATGTCTGTTTGTTTTTGTCTGATTGGATGGGCAGTACTGACATAAAATTTAGCTTCGAGGATTAATAATGAGCATTAAAAAAGGCGGTATACGTAAAACAGCAAATTCTAAAGTTCATTTAAAAAATCGGTCAGCTTAAAGAACAAAAGCTTCTATGACACTAAGTAGAACACTCACAGTACTATAATAGCATCATTTACCCATAAAAAGTTAAAAATCACTCTTATTTGAAAGTGCCAAAGCTTTCCAGAAAATGTGACATATTATCTCTCTTGTTCATGTCTGTCTGTTGTTCCTTTGTTAGTCATATTATGTCATAGCTAGTCCACATGTCATCATTATTTAGCACAACTTGACGTTACTTATAATGTTCTGTGATTAAAACACTGCTTTCTGTATTTGGTCATGTTTGTAAGCAGACCCACGAGTGTCCAGTGGAGTACGCAACGCCCCTGCTGACATTGTACCGCATGTCCCAGGACAGAAACGCAGGTTTTGGGGAGCCTGAACGCAGACAGCAGGTTCTGCTCTTCTACAGGACCCTGCAGGACATCCTGGAGCAGTCACTGGAGTGCCGCAACCGCTACAGGCTCATCCTGCTCAATGGTAAGAACCTGACGGGTGAACACGAGAAGCTTCAAAATAATTCACCATGAGCTGTCCATTAAGAAGTGCTATTTGTATGATAAACTTTGTATTAATGGAATCACAAATTATGGATTTAATGTGAGAGACCAATACAAAATACAAAAACTGTGGAGTAAAAGGCACATGATAAAATTGTTTTGCAAATACAAAACTAGCATTTTCAACTTTATTCTACATCTGGACTTTGACTAGGCCATTCTAAAACCACAGTGAGCTTTATTCTAAACCATTCTATTTTGTCTCTAACCCTAGTTTTAGGTCTGTTAGTTTGGTGGAAGGAATCTTTCTGTTCTTGCTGATATTAAAAAGCCTTTTTCTGCTCCCATAACTCAGAATGGAGATGGAATCTTCATTATATATGGTTTACATGTAAATGAAGTTTTATTTAGATTTTATTTCACCAGAGCACCTTCCAGCACATGTTTGCTCCTATATGTGTCCTCAACACACCTAGTGGCATTAATCTTTAGACTGCAAGTCTGGATTCACGTTTAAAAATGAGAAAGTCAGCATTATTGCTCAATTTCTGTCATGTTTGGCTTAAGGTGCCTAACCCACATGCAGAACACTCAGAGGCAGGAGAAAAGTTCAAAGGTTTATTGAAGTGTTTGTAACACAATAAATGAACAGATCCAGGGGGGAACTCGTCTGGTCACGAGTGGGTTCTGAAAAGCACACAGAATTATCAGATCCATGACTGGTCACGAGTGGGTTCACTGCAGAGGGGGACAGAGGAGTTAGTGGAGGTCCAGGTAATTTGCAGGTTGAGAGTGAGCAAGGCTGTACCTGTTCTGGAGTTGAGCAGAGCGGCAGAAGGGGGGAACCTTGAGGGTCCAGAGGCTGTCGGCAGGCTGAGGGCTTGGCAGAGGCAGAGCTTAACTTGAGTGTTGGCAGATAACAGATCTGAGTTTCCTTCCAGAATCTTCCGAGAGCGGGCAGGCAGAACTTTGAAAGGAATAATTCTCCTGGGTTCTTCAGAGAACGGACAGGCAGATAACTGGCAGAGAAACTCTTCAGTGTTTCAGGTTTCAGGCAGGTTCAATCTAGGAAGCAGAGAAGAGAGAACAGATCAGGTTCAGGTTATCAGGGAGTCAGAGGTTCAGACAGGCTGGTTGGCTCAGGCTTGCTAACCGTAACTGGCAAACACTCTGGTGCTGGAGAGAAGACCTCAGCCTCCTTAAATACGGATCTCCTGATGAGCAGATAAGCGACAGGTGGTGCAATCAGCTCAGGCTCCAGGAGATCTCGTACGCCCTCTGGTGGAGAAAGTGGACAGACCTCCAGATCCCAACAATTTCTTTGAGATGGTAGTAGAACAGGAAATATTTCTCAATTCTTCTTTGTTATAATGGATGCTTACTGTGGCAATTTTAATTATATGAAGGAACTGAGTTGTAGGGGAGAATAGTTTTGGTCAGAGTGCGAAATACGGGGGGGTCCGGGGTGGCTCGACCCCCCCGATTAACCCATGAGACCCCCTGAAAGCCTCAAAAGCAAAATTTAAAGGGGGTCTTAAATTGTGTCAAAAAAAATTTAAAATAAAATATTTTTTTGTCACTATTGGTCACTAAAATGTTTTTAAGCTCAACATGTCCAGTATTAAAATTCAAAACTTTATTCAAAAATATGTTCTGTTTTTTTGCCAAGTGGAGCCAGCCAATCTTGTTCGCGTATGCAAATTAGCCATGTGCTTTTCCGCAGTTAATAACACGGGCAAAGCGGAACAGATTGCATAAAGGACAGCAGGTCTTCACTCCTGTTTGTGGACCTCAACGGACCTTCTCTGGACAAATTGGACCCATTTCCATTTGTCAGAAACTGGATTAAAGCAGGACATGTGCGTGCATGAAAGAGAGAGAGAGACAGACAGACAGTCTTTGTGCGTGTGTGTGTTTTCATAGACTGACTCTATTCAGGCTCTTGCCGGCTCCACCAGATTCACAGAAAGCTTCATCCACCAAGCAGTCAGGAAGTTGACCCCCCCTCAAAAAAAAAATCACTCCGGACAAACTGTCTCCTGCACTACTATTAATACTATATTTATTTACTGTTCTTTTGCACTGTTACTGTTAGAAATGCTATATCTTACATAATTGGTAATAATAATAATAATAATAATTTTTCTGTTGCCATTACCATCTGCCTTTTTGCACTATCATAAGTATTGCATATTTTATATTATTGTACATTTTATATTTTATTGTGAAATTGAATGTTTAAATTTTAGTATTAGGAACTGATCTTATCTGTTGTGCCTGTGCACTTTATCTTTTTCACTGTTGGTGAATAGGAAACGTCCTCTTGAGTCCTTCTATGTCTGGTGAATCTGAAGAATTGACATTAAAGCTGACTTTGACTTACAAATGTTATAGGCCTACTGCATATTGAGAAAATTTTGATCGGTATTGCGCAACAATCGGGAGATAGGGACCCCCCCAAATGTTGACAGGTATTTCGCACACTGGTTTTGGTCATAAAAAAAAAAAAAACTGGCCATTTTCCACTGTTTGTGAACAGCTCTTCTTAAGTCTGTCCTGTTTGCCGCATTATTTTGTATGCAGACAATGCAGTAATATACTCTTCTAGTTCAAACATCTTACTATTATTATCCCATTTTAACCCAGTCTAAAGAAACTAAAGCGCTGTGATACGTGTACTGAGGACAGCAAGTCAATTTGATCTGTAAAATAAATGCTTCTTCTCCCGTCCTGGGTCAATCAGATGATCGACTGAAGGTGTCCTGATTTTTGAGATTCTACCATTTGAAGTTACCATATCCTCTTCCTCCTCTAGATGAGCACGAGGAGGACCCTCACTTCCTGTCCAAAACCATCCTGAAACATCTGGAGCAGCAGAATAAAGAGGAGTTCTGCCTCAGCTCGGCTCCGCAGCAGGAGACCAATAAGGTCGCACAGATGGAAGACTGGCACAACCCGGACCCAATGAGCCGAGAGCCCACCCTGATGATCAGCCTGGAGAGGCCGCAGCCTCTCAGGGGACCTGTTGAGAACTCGGACATCAGCTAAAACAGCATCAGAATCTTCAAAAGAAGGGGGGAGCACACCTCAACCTTTCATACGATGGAGATACTTGGGGGGTTTGGGGTTGAAGCGAGACTTTGCTGTCAACAGGCATTCAATTGACTCAGATCTTTATGGTTCTAACTGGCAGTTATGACAAGTACCGTACACAGTCTTTGTCACATATGGTTAAAAAAAACATATCAATTCTACTGTATAAAAAAGGTGCTTCTGAAAGCAGTTTTTTCTCTATTTTAATTGTTAGTATAATAACCATAAAGTGAAAACAAAAACTGTACATCAGCATACTAACATTAAAATGGAAAAAGAATCTGTGCTTCTTTTCAGAACTAGCTGATGTCAGAGTTCTCAACAGGTCGTGTAGTTGTGTTTTATGGAGAAGGTAAAGTAACGTGTCTCTGCAAGTCATCTAGGAGTCTCCTGTTTCAAATCTGTTCTGTCTTCAGGGATTTATTTGGAAAATAAATAAAGTTTTTGTAAATTTAATCAAATACTGTGTGCTATAATGTAAACATATTTTCTATTACTTTTGACTCTCCTTTACTAAAAGAATCCTTAAAGAATTTTCTTTGCAACTCTCGTGTATTATTAACTCTTATACTACTTTGCCATTGATTCTTTCCTCACATTCAGTCCATAATATAATTTGTTTTTGTCTTATAATAGATTCTTCTTTTTAACAGTAAGGCATTTTAGTTTACTCTTTTTTTCTATACAGCTCATAATATCACACATTTCATCCATAATTCTAAGTTAACAGCTATAGATTGTATTTATTTATTTATAGATTAATAAAATACAATAATTTATGACAGGCTTTCTGTAATCTCTCTCTCATCTACATCTCTTGGCTCCGCATTCTCCTCTGTGGGGATCGACTCATCATGTCTGCCTGCAATAATTTTCCCCTAAAAGAAAAAGTGAACAGGTGATTGGCAGCATGTTCCCCACATGCAGTGTCTCTGGTTAAAAGGCAGTATTAAATAGTAGTAAATAAATTACAAATCTTGCTAATATATTTTTCTATATAAGTATCATTTAGGAATCCCGTGGCATTAGTTGGCTGCTCCTACATTACCCCCTAATATTAGACCAACCAGTGACCTTCCCCCGTCTATTCTCATGCTTTCTTTTCTCTGACACCACCAGCAGGTGGATTACAGACTTCCTGTCTGACAGGAAGCAGCATGTGAAGCTGGGAACTGAACAGTAATAACTCTGTCTAGCTGCTGAAGTTTGCAGACAACGCCACTCTCACTGGACTCTAATGGTGATGAGTCCTCATACAGGTGGTAGGTTGACCATCTGGAGACCTGGTGCAGGGAGAACAACCTGGATCTCAACGCTCTAAAAACAGTGGAGATGGATGTGGACTTGAGGAAGAATTTCAGGAATAATTGCGGAGTCAGTGACTCCACAATTAACACTGTGGAGTCTTTCCGCTTCCTGGGAACTATCATCTCACAGGACCTAAAGGGGGAGCTGAACATCAACTCCCTCTCCAAGAAAGCCCTGCATGGTATGTGCTTCCTGCGGCAGCCGAAACAATTCCACCTGCCAAGGACAACGATGGTGCACTTCTACTCCTGCACCATTGAGTCCATCCTCACCTCCTCCATCTGTTACGCTGGTGCCAAGGCCAAGGACAGACAGCAGTGTGTCATCCGGTCTGCAGAGAAGGTGATTGGCGGCAATCTTCCAGCTCTCCTGGATCTGTACGCCTCCAGGACTCTGATGCAAGGAAGATGGTTGCTGATCCCTTGCACCTCAGCCACAAACAATTTCAGTCACTTCCCTCTGGCAGGAGGCTGCAGTCCATCAGGACCAAAACCTCAGGCCACAACAACAGTTTTTTCCCCTCCACTACCAGCCTTGTCAACCCGTGACATTGACACCGCCTCTCTCCCTCCCCCGTTCAGGACCTAGAAGCTACACCAGAGGTCATGGATTATCGGACTGCGGATCCATCTGATGGCTAACCCAACCTGATTTAAAACATTTTTAATTACTGCATGTTGTCCGACGACAGTGTCTAACTTCACTTGCGCCGCTTCTCCTGTGAATATTGTAAACGCCCACCGGAGCGTCGGGACCAGGCTACAGGTGCTACAAATGATCCAATGAGCTGCAGTCAGTCTGGGCTGCTGCTGCTGCTACTTTTAGACACAGCAGGCAAACCTGTGGCAAGCCGGGCGATGGGAAAGAAGAAGAAGATGATGAGAAAAAGAGAGCAGAGAAAGTGTGGACTGCTGGAAGAACTGCAGTGAACTGGGGAAAGAAAAGTGAAATGGTGCTCAAAGATGACCCTGCACATTTAGAGGATGTTTGGCTCAACCTGCTGCTGTGAAGCAGGATTCTCCACCATGAACAGAATCAAAAATAAATATGGATCCAGGCTCAAAATGAGCACCTTGATATGTGCTTTAGAATGGCTTTGTCTCCATTTAAACCCAGGTTTAAAGCCTTGCAGGGCAGCATAAAGCCCACTGCCAACATTAAGACAGAAAAAAGGAAAAAATAACAAACAGATCAGTTCAGATGCTTTATAAAATATGTGAATCGGGAAATTGTCTTTATACCAAACTGAACGATTGTTGTTCTCTACTTAAAAAAAACAACAACAACATTTTAATATGGAAAAATGTTCTACTGTTTTTATGTATTTTTTAGTTTGAAAATTCAATGTATAACATGGATGCATAACAACTCATTTTTTTCAGTGTTAAATTCTGTTTAAAGTAACAGATTATAATCAAAAATTATTTTACTGGACCTTAGTGGTTGATGATTTTCAACCAGACCTTTACTGGTTGATGAATTTCTTTATTCGGACCCAGCTGATTTTTAATTGGTTACCCCCGAGCTACACCAACGTAACTGTTGGGATCTGGAGGTTTGTCCACTTTCTCCACCAGAGGGTGCACAAGATCTCCTGGAGCATGAGCCGACCGCACCACCTGTCTCTCATCTGCTCATCAGGAGATCCGTACTTAAGGAGGCGGAGGGCTTCACTCCAGTGCCAGAGTGTTTGCCAGTAATGGTTGATCCTGCCTGAATACCTGAAACTCTGGAGAGTTTCTCTGCCGGTGATCTGTCTGCCCGCTCTCAGAAGATTACTGGAAGGAAAACTCAATCAGTGATCTGCCTGCACTCAGTAAGCTCTGCCTCCGCCTCTGCCCTCAGCCTGCCGACAACCTCTGGACCCTCAAGGTTCCCCCCCTCTGCAGCTCTGCTCCACTCCAGAACAGGTACAGACCTGAACACTCACAACCAGCAAAAGACCTGGACCTCCACTAATCTCTCTGTCCTCCTCAGCAGTGAACCCACTTGTGACCAGTCAAGCCCCCTCTTGGATCTGAACATATTTTGTACATTTATTATAATAAATCTTTTAACTTTTTCATCTGCCTCCGAGTGTTCTGCATGTGGGTTAGACACATTAATCCGAACATGACAGTAACATCTCCAGACCTCCTGCGTTACATTAAGTCTACAGTCTACTGTGTATATAGTATATAGCTATATACTATTTATAATATGTTGTATGTTTTAAATTGTATATAACCATAGATTCTGTATTCTGTATGTATATATCTGATTTGTCTGCACCTTCAATACCAAGTGAAATTCCTTGTAGGCGCAAACCTCCTTGGCAATAAACTTGACTCTGATTCTGACTGGACGCTACATCTGATCAGTTATCAGTGTTATATATCGTGTTATATATGAGTGAAGACATTTAAATCCTGTGTTACTCCCAGGTTCAGTGATGCCACTTTTTTATTTTTTATTTAATGTCAGGTTAAATAAATGATGACTGTTGAAACCATAATTAACCTCAAACAAATCCTCTTACTTTTCTTGCCATGATCTGTTGTATTACTAATAAAGTGTGGAAAATGGGGACAAAATATTTTGCATTTGCCTCTGCAACTCTATGGGGAGTGTTGGCCTAGTGGTTAGAGCAGTGTGTTTGTGCTCTGAGAAGGTTGCAAGTACCTGGTTCGATCCCCACAGCCTGCACTCTGGCTCCCTGAGCAAAACTTAAACCCCACTCTGCTCCCTAGGCGCCCCACAATGGCAGCCCACTGCTCCCCATGCAAATGGGTTAAATCTGGAGGTAAATTTCTCCAACATAAGATTAATAAAGTTCATTTTTTAATTTTTTTACTCACGAATGGTTTGGATCAGAAAATAAAAACACATTTTTATACAATAAACTAACATGTATTGTGTCTCAGCAGTCAAATCCTTTTAAATGGATAGCACATTTTTTACAATTTTCAATTTACCCCTAATACAGAGTCAGATGGTATAACTGAGTCTGGAGCTTTAAGCCATATGAGATTAATAAAAAAAATTTATGACAGATTAACAGAAACACAGCACAAGCAAACATGCTTTCATATTCTAGAAATATTTTGCTTTTTCTCTGGAAATTAGATCCCCATTCATCTTTTTAATCACAATTAGCTGAAATCATTTTGAAGTCTTCATCTTCCTCCACTTCTGTTTTTTTTACCCGTCAACAGATGACATCACGTTTCTAATGAAATCATACATTCCTCAGGATTTCATTTCATATCTATTGTTTTTTCTATTCAACATTCACTTTCCACTTCCCTAAGAAAGAGGGGAATTCTTCTCCAAAATCACTGTCCTTGTTTTTCCAAGTACTTCTGCTTTTCTCACCTTTAAGTCTGTCAGGCCTCTTGAAGTCCCAGGTCATTTTGAGCTCATTCATTGATTGCAGGTTCCTCATTCTCACTTTGGTAAATAACTTCAAAACAAAGGCAGCACAAACAGGAATTATAGCTGCACAGACCAGCAGGAACATAGCGAAACTGATTGACTTCTAAAGAGCTTTATTAACATCTTTAACATGATAGCCAGAAAACAAAAATCAAACAGGCACAAATGAAGCACAAAAATGTAAAGTCATTCTTGTTTAGATTAAAGATCGAGGGTCAGACTGCAGTGCTTTTGATCCAATGGAGTTTAGGTACTTAACTTGGAATTGGTCTATATGATCCTATTGAGTAGTATTTATGGAGAGTGCCTTGACACAAGTGTTGTGAAATGGAGCTTCATAAATAAACGAAATTAAATTGAAATATGACATTTGTTTTTCTTTATTTAGTTATTGTTTTATAGCAGAGGTCTTCAACGTTTTCCAGGCCAAGGACCCCCAAACTGATGGTGAGACAAAGCGATTATGAAATAGTGTTCTATCAAACTGGTCCTATAGTCACTCTATTACAGATGGAATAATGTAATGAAAGTATTTCTCCCTGGGATTATTAAAGTATTTCTGATTCGTGGTTGAT